GAACTTCTCACTACTCAAAGAACTGGAGAACACAAAACAATATGATAGTTGTCCGAATATACACTAAGTTAAAGTTTTGTTACCATTCACAAACAGCACATTCTAAAATTCAAAACATTTCCATATGCCAGATGTGACTGTAGACCCAACTCCTGGGAAATATAAGTACTTGTAGTGATCAGTTGTCTAAAAAGTATGCCCAGTGTCCATCTACTGTAGAGGATGAAAATCTGTCCCTTGCTAGCAGATATGCTAGAACTCACAGGGTCCCAAAAGAAAGGATTCGTCCATTTGATCCAAACATAGGATTTCCAAAGCTTCTAAGCCAAACCTAAAGCTTCACAAAAAGCATATGACCTCTTCCTTGGACAGTATCACTTCAGAATGCAGATAGGAGATCACATGCTAAAATACAATCCCATGTAAGAATACTTTCACACACAAAACCAGCCCACGGGCTTCAGTCATCCTCCACAACATAATAGCTGTTTTCAGAATCCTAGGGGGTACCGTATTTTTCGCTCTATTGGACGCACCGGACCACAGGAGGGCAAGAACAGGATTTTTTTTTTCTTGTTCTCCCCCTCTAAAACAAGGTGCGTTCTGTGCGTTCAAGGTGCATTCACCCGAAGCCTCCGGAGCCCAGCAGGAATTCCCGCTGGGCTCTGGAGGCTTTGGGTTCCTTTTGACTTGCTCTTTGGGGCTGGCAGGGGGGGAGCGCTGCTTTCCCCCACCACCAGCCTCCAAACCAGGTCGGGTTTGGAGGCTGCTATCCGCAAGCCTTGGGAGCTTGCGGATATCTGCCCGAAGCCCGGGGTGCACTGCGCAGCGCTCCCCAGGCTTCGGGATGCAGGCTGCTATCCGCAAGCCTTGGGAGCCCGGCAGGAACTCCCGCCTGGCTCCCAAGGCTTGCAGATATCTGCCCGAAGCCCGGGGTCTGCTGCGCACCCCCACCGTGCTCCAAAGGCTTGCGGATAGCTTCCTGAAGCCTGGAGAGTGAGAGGGGTCAGTGCGCACCGACCCCTCTCGCTCTCCAGGCTTCAGCGAAAGCCTGCATTCGCTCAATAGGACGCACACACATTTCCCCTTCATTTTTGGAGGGGGAAAAGTGCACCCTATAGAGCGAAAAATACGGTAATTCAAAACCACAACAGTAGAAATTCAGAAAAGGCACTACCAGTCAAGAGAATGCCAACATGTTCAATGAACAGTATCAATAAAGCCAATAGAAACAAGATTTCCTTCAGAAAACAGAAATCTTGTTCAAATAAGGAGGAAAAGGAACACAAACTCTGGCAAAAGAAACACAAGCAGGAAATAAGGAATAAAAAACAATTTGAGGAGCACATCACTAAAAACAAAAAGGCCAACAATAACAAGGTATTTACATGCACTAGAAGCAGGAAATTGCCAATGGAAGTCACTGGACCTTTGAATAACAAGGAAATCAAAAAAGGAAGGAAGAGGCAAATATTAAAATGGCAAATATGATTCAGTGTTAGCATATGTAAACTAATGCATATATATGTTTATAAGATCTGAACTTGTAGTAACTAACCAGGAAAGAGACCCTAGACTTGTGATGGATGTCAGTGAAAATGCTGACCCAATAGATAGCAGCTGTTAAAAAATGCAAACGATGTTAATGACCCAAATCAAAACGTTGTTATACCAATTGCTCAATATTCTCAGTGGAGAGGATACATTAAGTAATATGTTTGAATGTTGAATATGCAAGTGTATTTGTAGAGACAATGGGTAGAACAAACACTATTAGAAACACTACTGGATAAGTGTTTAATGGTCATTGTATGTGTATTTGTTTAAAAACCAATTATTATTTTTTAAGGCAAACTCTATGTTAAGCAAAGTTGGCAACCCTTAAAGGCTGTCCCTTTACCTGCAAGGTATGATTTCAAACCATGTGATAAAAAATGGACAGCCTGACATTACTGTGACATGAGGTGCCAGACAGGTAGCTGGCACTGCCCACTTGTCAAACCAAGCCCTTGGGAGTAAGGGAAAATAAAGATCTGGCTGGCAGGCCTAATCCAGTCCTGCCTTGTTTAAAAAGCAGCCTAATTCCTTCACTCATCCTGTAATTTTGAGGTTCGTTTTCATGGCATGAAACGAACTCCTGATCACTTTCAGGCTCATTGATATGGTTCCAAACTAAAGAAAAACCCTATTTCAGGAATACTAAAATATAATAGACTGCAGCCCCAAGATTCTTTGCTGTTCCCATTTATGACACTTACATGATCGTTTAAGACTATAATCCTACACTTACCTTGAAGTCTCACTGAATTCAATAATACATACTTCTGAATGTGCATGCATATGAGTGTACTATATAGAAAGTCTGGGCCCTGACATGCTCTGAAAGTATTTGCTGCCTATGTTTCTTTGTAAAGTTGGTAAACTTGGTGTGGTTTGTGGAGCCATTTGGGTGGGGAGGCACCAAATCCACACAAAGAGCCTCTTGACATAAATTGCTATCCATACTGAAAAATCTGCAATTTCCCATGTTTCAGTCTCTGCAATTCTCAAAATGACTCAGATTAAGTAACCTTCTACAATATAGACACATGTTGGTTTGTGTTCAAAAATGTTACAGGCAAATATTTTTTATATGCTTTGATGGAATCTACACACACATAAAAACATTCTGAAAATGCTTTTATTAAACTGAAAAACAGCCATAGTAAGCATTCATTCCAATGGACACTTAAACTTATTTATATTCTGAAATGTTTGTTGTGGTTGTTCCAATATGCTGTCTAGCTAATGTCAGCTACAGCAAACAGAACCAACAATATATGGAAGAATTTGGTCATAATTTGTGCCAACATGGAAGCCAACTCTCATGAATTCATTACTGACAGCATAGTATCAACATATATTTATACTTTGCTCAGTGAAGTCTGCATAAAACTCACTATTTTCCTATGCTACATCTGTACTTAAATTATTGTTTATTGGTTTAATTTACCACCAGTTAGAGAAGTAACAAGGATCCAAAGCTGGTGGAGTTCTACAAACTGTTCTGAACGACTATCTCTTACTCTGTTTATAGAGATTTCTGCCTTCAGTTGAGTACAATAAGCCAATTGTTGTGTACTTTAGTTTTTTTCTGATATGTGCACCATCCATAGTTCCAGAAGCTTACTGGAATATTTTGTTAAGGGGAAATTATTGGGTTGTTTTTGTTATGTATTTTCTGTTTTTTATATTGTGATTTTATGTCATGAACTACCCTGAGATCTATGGGTATAGGGTTGTATATAAATTTTATAAATAATAATAATACAGAAACATGTCATTCAAATGACATTCATATGTGCATCAAGACATTCAGTAACTTTTAAGCAATTCCAAGAGAAACTAATGGGCTAAATACAGCCCATTCTTACACATGCTTACCCACGAAGCCAATGTACTATCACCAAACGGTTTAAAATGTAAAATGAAGTTCAATATAAATGTAAACTAATGCACATTAGGGAACTATATATATAATTTCACATATACACTGACAGGGTCAGAACAGACGGTAGCTAACCAGGAAAAGAATCTTAAGGTCTGACCATATCCATCAAAGCTGAATGATGGAAGATTGAGGCCAGAGAAAAGGAAGTAATTCACTACCATCATTAATTATTATTCTTCATTAACATTTGCAATGCAGGAAGGGTTCGCACATTAGACTTCTACCATTTACATCCAGATGTGTTTCCCAAAGTGGGCGATACTGCCCCCTGGGGAGTGCTGGAATGATCCAGGGGGTGGTAGTAGCCTCAGGTATAACTGGGGGGGTGCTGAAAAGGGGTAGTGGAAGCATAAGAAAATTTTGAAAAACCATTTGTACAGTACATGTTTCATCTGTTGTGAAATGACGCTTACTGCCAGATCTCCCCTGGATCCAGTGGTCATGCTGGACGAAAGGGGTATACCTGGGCTTCAGTATACCCTTTTCAGCTTCACCCAGACCCAGGAAGTGGCTCACAGCTTACCTGCCTGTTGGGCCAATGACAGGCGGCAGTGGCACAAGCCCTAACACTAGGCAGATCGACTGAGCCAGCAGGCTTCACTCTAGTCCGCCATGTGGGTTTTTAATCTGAGAGCCTAGTCCACCTCCTCGGCCAGTTTTGAAAAATTGTTTGTACATGTTTCAACTGTTGTGTAATGACACTTACCGCTGTGTCTTACTTATAACAACATCTTTATTTACTATGTTGTAGAATGTAGATAGAAATATAGATACATAAAAGAACACAGATTTGTCACTGCATCTTTGTTTGTTTGCTTAAAGAAGGTAGATTTCCAGAGAGGCACTGAATATTTTTTTTCTGAAAATGGGGTGGTAGGCCAAACAAGCTTGGGAACCTCTGATCTAGATGGAAAGCAGTATTAACTCATATTACCAGTCTTAGAAATTCCCCAGGAGCCAGCATGCTTTTTGACTGTCATGGGTCCAATTGCGACCACATGAAGATCTCTGGATGCCAGGTTAGCATCTGACAACTCCATCTGCCTGGCACCTCCAGTTTTCATAAGCAAGTAAGTAGAAGCTTATTTATTGCATTATATCCTACATCTTTCTCCAAGTACACAGTTCACCCTCCTCCTTATCCCTACAACAACCCTGTGAAATAGGTTGAGAAGCTGTGACTGGCATAAGGTGACTGGCCCAATGAGCTTTATGACTGAGGGAGGATTTGAACCCTGATGTCTCGGGTCCTAGTCTGACACTCTAACCACAACACCGTACTGGCCTCCTAGAGTACTTCTGTTATGGGGCAGCTATATAAATTTAGTAGCCAAATAAATAAATATAGGGAAAGCCAATTGTCACTACAAGAAGGATCTGAAATATTTTCCTTGAAGCTTGAATTTGTTGTATTCAGGATTGTTTTATTTGATGTTTTAATGTTTTTTAAAACACTTTGAGATTTTCCCCCCTTTAAAATATAAGGCAGTATGGAAATCAATTGAATACTGGGATAGCTCAGTTGGTAGAGCTTGAGATTCCTAATCTCAGGGTTGTGGGTTCAAGCCTGGCACGGGGTTGGACCAGATGATCCTAGTGGTCCCTTCCAGCTCTATAAATTCTATGAATCATAATAATAATAATAATAAATTTCATTGCAAACAAAAAGGTTCGTAGACATTCCGTTATGACAACTGTAGCATAGGTTTCTAACACTATGTATTACCGTATTTTTTGCTCTATTAGACGCACCAGACAATAAGAAGCACCTAGTTTTTAGGGGAGGAAAACAAGAAATAAGAAAACAACGCAAAGCATCCTGAGCTAAGAGGGAGCGCTCCTCCATCTTCACTCAGGAGGCTTTGCAGGGCTATCCCTGAAGCCAGGAGAGAAAGTGGGATTGGTGCGCACCGATCCCTCTTGCCCTCCTGGCTTCAGCGAAAGCAAGCCTACTGGCTTTCCTCCCGCAACAGCCGTGCGCTCTTTAAAGAGAGCGCGGCTCTTGGGGGCTTTTCTGGGAGGTGGGGGAAGGGACAAAGCCGTGTGCTCTGTCCCTTCCCCCATCTCCCGCAAAAGCCAGGGATAGCCGCACAAAGCCTCCACAGGGCAGCGGGATGAAGGCTCCCCGCTGCCCTGCGGAGGCTTCGCATGGCTAATCCAGAAGCTAGAACAGCTAGAGGAAGCGCTGCACAGCACTCCCTCTAGCTGCTCTGGCTTTTGGATAGCCCTGCAAAGCCTCTGCAGGGCACAGGGATGAAGGCTCCCCGTGCCCCGCGGAGGCTTCGCGCGGCTAAGCCAGAAGCTAGAACAGCCAGTGGGATTGGAGCACAGCGATCCCACTGGCTGTCCTGGCTTCTGGCTTAGCCGCGCGCAGCCTCTCCCGGACAAGAGGAGCCTTCATCCCCTGCCCACGAGAGGCTGTGCGCGGCTAAGGCTCCCCCAAGAGCTGCGCTCCCTTTAAAGAGCGCACTGAGTGTGTGTGCGGCTCTTGGGGGCTTTTCCCCAAGGAGGGAAAAGGGCAGCCCATCTCCCTCCTTGGGGAAAAGCCCCAAAGAGCCGCACACACGCTGCACACGGCTCTTTAAAGGGAGCGCTGAGCAGAGCCTCCCACCTGCATTCGCTCCATAAGACGCACACACATTTCCCCTTACTTTTTAGGAGGTGAAAAGTGCATCTTATAGGGCAAAAAATACGGTACTACAGTAGCACAACATCCAATGACTCTGGCTTTGTCACATGGTTTGTAATGAGAAGAAATAAAAAATAATCTAAGTCAATCCATTGTGTCATCTGTCCTTCTTGCACAGTTAACCTACACAAACCAGACCACAAGATACTAGAGATAGAATTCAGAGTCCCTGTAGGACAAATAGGTTCTGATGTTTCAAAGAAGATAGCAAAGCCACACACTACTAGAGAAAAATAGAAAAATGTCTGTTGTCAATTGTGAATTGACTGCAATCATTAAATTTCACTAAATAATATTCATATCCAATTTTACATACTTACTTGACTTGACCTGTCACAACTTACAGAACTGAAACAATGAAGGTCTACATTTCAGCACAACGTACAGTTCTGCCTGCACACATGAAGTTCACAGCAAAATTTAAAGCAAAAAGCAAAAACAATGTACCTAGAATATTTAGGTCACAATATATAAACACCTTCCTAACAATAAGGCCATGATAACTTGAGTCTTTTTCTCTAGGAAACCTCTTATGCATAATCCAACTCACTGGCATGCATGGTATGTAGTACTAAACACATTGCTGCATTTCCTGTGCTGCATTTCCTGTGCTGGAGCAGAATTATTTGGAATCTCAGATTTAGAAAAAAGTATTTTGCTTTGCTTTCCATTTTAAACAAATTTATCCCACAGTCAATGTATAATTTCAGGAATTATCAGTAGTTAAATGACAGTCACATTAGGTTAACACAAATCATATTCTTACATAGTATAGTACTGTAACTATACTGTGCTGTAACAAATCACAAACTATCCCAAGAAAGACAATACAGTCAAACCTCAGTTGTTGAACGTAATCCATTCTGGAAACCCATTCAGCTTCTGAAAAGTTCGACCACTGAGGCGCGGCTTCCAATTGGTTGCAAGAGGTTCCTGCACTCAAGCGGAAGCCACATGGGACATTCGGCTTCCGAAAACAGTTCAAAAACTGAAGCATTTACCTCCGGGTTTTCAGCGTTCAGGAAAACTAACTACAGTGGTACCTCATGTTACATACCATCCCCCTTATGAATGCTTCGGGTTATGCACTCTGCTAACCCGGAAGTAGATGCCCCTTGTTGCAAATTTTGCCCCGGGATGCGTGCAGAAGTCGCACGCCAGTGGCGTGGCAGCAGCGGGAGGCATCATTAGCGAAAGTGCATCTCATGTTATGAGCGGTTTCCAATTATTAACAGACCTCCAGAACGGATTAAGTACATAACAAGCGGTACCACTGTACAGTGGTACCTCAGGTTACATACGCTTCAGGTTACACACTCCGCTAACCCAGAAATATTACCTTGGGTTAAGAACTTTGCTTCAGGATGAGAACAGAAATTGTGTGGCGGCGCAGCAGTAGCAGTAGGCCCCATTAGCTAAAGTGGTGCTTCAGGTTAAGAACAGTTTCAGGTTAGGAACAGACCTCCAGAACGAATTAAGTTCTTAACCCGAGGTACCACTGTATTGTTAGGTACTACTCCGGCGGGAAGGTAAATGGCGTTTCCGTGCGCTGCTCTGGTTCGCCAGAAGTGGCTTAGTCATGCTGGCCACATGATCCGGAAGCTGTACGCCGGCTCCCTTGGCCAGTAAAGCAAGATGAGCGCCGCAACTCCAGAGTTGTCCACGACTGGACCTAATGGTCAGGGGTCCCTTTATCTTTACCAATAAGTTATATTTGTGGGCAGAGTGACTGATAGGTCAAAGTGAAGACAACAAAGTGGGTCCAGAATTTAGAAAGTTAAATTTGGCAGGTTTTCAACCCTGTAAATTATGTGCCAGGCAGTTGCCAGGACAACTTCTTCAGTTACAAGGCCAAAAATAAACTGAACAAACTTTATCTTCAGAGATATAGTCATTTGGACTATGTTCTCAATAAAATAGTACCTGAACTGAATTTTACTTTGGGATCTTAAGGAAATAAGATGTTTGAGATTTCAGATTTGAAAAGCTGTACAAGTTTAGAACCTGCTCAAAATATTAATTCTAAACACTTTAAAACAAGGCAAAACAAAACAGCCCAAGAGACTGCTCTGTATGCCCTCCACATGCTTGATACTTTCAGAACTGCTCTAGGACGTTATTTTAACACTGACCAGACAGATTATGGTCTGGTCAGTTTCATCCTGAATGATAAATTGTGGTTGCTACCACAACCCCACAACAGTGCAACATGGCATGGGCTGGGGCTAGGCTCCCTTCTTATCAAGGAAAGACATCATCCTTAAAGTGGAGTGACATACGGTAACTGTTCCTGTGGAAACTGCTCTATCAGTTCAATTATATAAGTCCTCAACACTATAAGCTTTTACCAGCAAATAACTGTTACCATATTATTAATATAACTGTAAAGCATCCTTGTTGCTAACTTGAAGCTCAAAAGATAGTTCATTATATCTATACTTTTTTGTTACATAACATACAGACAAGCAGCATATAGCAACTAAAATATGAAGGGTAGCACAGCGTGCAAGGCTACAATCATTCTTCCCAAGTAGGTTTTATAAAAAAAGCTACATAAGCAATACAGAACAGTCACAACTGTAGATGTGATTAAGTCAGTTTCACTGAGCTTAGGTGTGCAGAATCTTCTTACAAATTTGAGTATGAAAGAAGTGAGAGGCGCCTGAATGTTTAGGTGGGTAATGAAAATAGTCTGGCACATTTCCATGCAATTTGCCACTTGCTTACACACCTTAGAAGCGTGGCCATTTCCCACATGTGACCAGTGGAGTACCACGCTGCACATGCCTCCCCACCAGTTACAGAAGAACAGTGCATAACTTTGGTAACTTTGATCAAAATTCTGTCTTCCAGACCTATAGGATCAGTATAAGTCCAAAGGATGTAACACACATCCATAACAGCAGGACATGTTTTCCTCAACAGGACTTTAAATGAGAATGATACCCAAAACCATTCATTTTCCTAAGACAGTGTTGTTCTGTGGCATATGGAGAGGGAAAATATTATATCCAAAACTGGCTTAGATTATACCTGAATGCAAACAAGCTTTGTATCACATTTTTCTGATGCAAATAGCATCACTCATATTTGAAAATTGAATCATATTGTTAAAAACACAGCTACAGAAGATTTCCTGTTACAATTGTTGACCCACAGGTGGTTACTGTTAGTTGTAGTCAATTGCAGGAAGAGGCAGCTGTATATGTGGGTAATATACCACATCCAAAAAACCAAAACATTACTCACAAAGTGAAAATCAAGATTGGGTCCCTTAGATCCCAAGCCTTGCACATCCTTAGCACCAGCATACAGACACTGTTGAGCTTGTTCTGAGTTTAGTGCCAAAACATGGTGTCCCCAAACCAGTGTTCAAAATTAGTCAGGCACCAAGTGTATTTTGCACCTAGCTATTTGCCACTTGCGACCAAGTGAAGATGCCTGACATCATGCCTGACATCTCCACAATCTAGAGGTGCATGCCTGGGGATCACTGGATCTTGACTGTTTTCACACACTAATACCACATCTTCCAGAATTCGCTCACTTAGATTTTATCTGCACAATCAGATTAAATTTCAGAAACCAATATTTTTTGTGCAGCCTGAGCAGGAGCAGTGAACAATGTTATAGTTAATTGTTGTTTGTCTTCACTTACCCCACCCTACTACCTTGCTCACAGTTGTGAAGAATATTCTTACATTATGAATGGTCCATGTCACCATTAAGAAAAAGTGGTAGAAACAGGCCAATATATATGTGGACTGTCCCTGGATCAAGTGACTTTTCTTCTTAAAGTTGTCAAAGCTCTTTACCTTGCTCGAGGTTGTCATCTGAACTAGCCAGATGCTTAACTGATAATCAATCACAGTCAGTCGGTCATTTGAAAAATAAGGCCTTAGAGCCATCTTGCCCCAAAATAGCAACTAGATATTCTCTGTAACCTTGACTTAAGGAGCCATTTGGACCCTAGCTTATATATCTGAGTTTCTAACACTGCCCCAAACACACACAAAAATAGTTAAACATGGCATACCATTGTCAAAGCCAGGTAAGAGTGCTTTGTATTTTTCTGTCACACCCCATCCTTAAACGCTAAAGGGTTAACACAGAAGCTATTCCAGGTCCAGTATTGCTCATGCATATTTTTCAGGCCAGCTACACTTAAAATTGCCATCTCTAAATCAGCTCCATTTGTCAGCACAATCCTATGCAAAATTATGTGTATCTCTGCATAGGATTATGCTGCGAGTCTTAATCAAGGCTGAGAGAAGCTAATTTACTATTCATTTCTGCTGGAAGGAGAAAATGGTCAAGGGTTCCTACCACATTTATTAGTATCTCTTCTAAGAGTTGCTTCATATGTCACATCTGATACCCAACTATAGAATTCCTGGCAAAAATCCAGGAAAATAGCATAAATTATGAACAGTATCCATATGCATAATAAACCATGGCTTGGAACGTGTCAATGATGAACCAGAAGGAAAAAAATGTGACATATGAAACACCATTAAACTAAATTTACACTTTAAACAATGAAACATGTAAAGAATATCCTATGTTCAAGCCCAGGTATCTTCCACTAATAAGATTTTGGGTAGCAATATGGATAATATCTTTATAAGAACTGCTCTCAGAATGGACTATCGAAGATTATGTGAACAAGAGTTTGATTCAGTGTAAAATAGCCCAAAGTAAATACTACAAGGCATCATTCAATGGAATGTCACCATGCAGACACCATGCCAGCCTCACACTACCAACTGCAACCTATGACTGGCTCCACTTGGCATTTCTCCATACATAGGGGAACCAGAAGTCTGACTCCAAACTAGCCAGTAAAGGGCAATTCTTGCTTGTTTCAAAAGTCGCTCATCGCTCCACTGCATAATTTCATCATAATCCACTATGGAAAAACCAAAACCACCACAACCCCAGAACATTCCAAAAGAGATGGGATACCCCGTCCACCTCAGAAGAACTTGACACCAAGCCAACACCACACTACCTGAGAACAAGGGTGCCATCCCACTCCCTGGCAAAGTATATGCAGTAGTTGTGAAACCAGCAGAAACCTAACAGGTGTGGCTCTTCCAAGTCTGGAGATGCAAATAAGGGAAAATATGAAACTATTAAAGTCTTGTCATATGGTTCTTCAAGATTTAGAACATTGCTAAGACCAAAAGAAATGGACAACTCTTTGGATATGGTTGCTGTCTTCTTTTTCACAGTAGGGCTCCAGTGCCATCAACAGCTGCATACTAGTAGAGAAGCAACAGATTTCCAATATGAAATGAAGTGATTTCCAATCACTGCATATTGGGGGCAGTGAAAGGTTTATCTGTTGAGTATCTACTACCAACCCTATCTTGCTGTCTGGCCCACACCTATACTCCTCCTCCTCCTTCATTTATTTAATTATCTGAAGGCCCAGGGGAAGCAACTTTTTACTGGCTTTCTTCATGTGTTTTTAACAGTAGTCTAGAATGCAGAAATGTACCAAGTGAGGATTTTTCTACTACTGATACGAAGAGCAATGGAGTAATTTAATCCTGTACAGTGGTACCTTGGGTTACATACGCTTCAGGTTACAGACTCCGCTAACCCAGAAATAGTGCTTCAGGTTAAGAACTTTGCTTCAGGATGAGAACAGAAATTCTCATGATGCCGGTGCGGCAGCAGCAGGAGGCCCCATTAGCTAAAGTGGTCTTCAGGTTAAGAACAGTTTCAGGTTAACAGCAGACCTCCAGAACAAATTAAGTACCTAACCCGAGGTACCACTGTAGTTCATACTACAAAAGTATTTGTCAGTTTCAAATAATGCCACACCACCACTTGTTTGTTTTTCTGCCTGTTTAAATTACAGTGGTACCTCGGGTTAAGAACTTAATTCGTTCTGGAGGTCCGTTCTTAACCTGAAACTGTTCATAACCTGAGGTACCACTTTAGCTAATGGGGCCTCCCGCCGCAGCCACACAATTTCTGTTCTCATCCTGAAGGAACGTTCTTAACCCGAGGTGCTATTTCTGGGTTGGTGGAGTCTGTAACCTGAAGCGTCTGTAACCTGAAGTGTCTGTAACCCAAGGTACCACTGTATTTCATTTGTTTATTTGCTGACTTTATATTCTACCTTTTCTCCAAGGAACTCAAGGTTGTGTGCATAGTTCCAACCCTCCACATTTAATGCCCACAAGAACCCTGTGAGGTAGGTTAGACTTAGAGCTAGTGACTAGCCCAATTACACCCAGTGAGCTTCATGGCTGAGTGGGCATTTGAGTCCAGCACTCAAGCACTAACAAAACACTAACACTTTGCGTGTGTTTTATTGTGGTGCTGTTCAAGTCAAAGGAACTAGGCCAGTAAAAAGTTGCCAACATGTAAGAGCCTACCTAGATTCTCTAAAAAAAATAACAAGCTCAGGCACTCTCCCTCTTTCTGCCTTCAAAGGGCTGCCAACTTTTCAAACAGTACTTAAAGCTGCTCCTAACAGTAGTCTGGCCTGCAACAAGGAGCAAATCAGAGTTTCCATCTCTGTACCATGAAAAGCATCACCTGCTGCTTTCTGCATCTCAAACTTCTGTGGAAAGTCATAATAACATGGCCAGTCACTGCAGTTGATAACCAATCTTCTGTGAAAAGCCACACCTGAAAGAATTTAGAGTCAGGATAGTAGGATGGTATAGGACAGGTTTCCTCAAACTCGGCCCTCCAGATGTTTTGAGACTACAATTCCCATCATCCCTGACCACTAATCCTGCTAGCTAGGGATCATGAGAGTTGTAAGCCAAAACCATCTGGAGGGCCAAATTTGAGGAAGTCTGGTATAGGAGTTAAGCATGTTGATTTGGCACCAGGGAGATCAAAGTTCAAATCCTACCAAGCCATGCCACTCACAACTATCCTTCAACCATAGTGCATCTGGCTGTTGTTAACCAGAAGTTTGGTGGTTTGAGGCCACCCAGAGACAGCTGTGGGCAGGATTCCTGCATTGCAGAGTGTTGGACTGGATGACCTTCGGGATACCTTCGAACTCTACAATTCCATGATTCTATGTGACCTGTTATGAAAATGTGTAGGAGGAAGAACCAGGTAACAATGAACAAAAACAAACAAAATAGTAAAGTCAAGCCTCAGTGAAAAGCACAAGAGATGAGCTAAGTAAAGCAGCTGACCCTTAATTTCCCACCTCACCCCAAACACACATAGCTATTAAGGAAGCCTATTAAAGGCACTCTTCTGGCCACCTCAAGGATTACCAACATTTCAAACAACCCCAGCAGCTGTGCCTTTAACAGTCACTTGATCCATAAAAGCCAAAAGGAAAACCCAGTCCACCTCCATGTCACAAGAGCCTTAACCAGCCCATTGCTGCCTCGCCTCAAAACCCCTGTAGGACACAAGAGCAGAGCATCTAGAGACAGCTGGCAACCCAAGCCTCTGTGCAGGATGTCACAGGAGCAGGGCCTGTGAAATATGCTCCACCCCTAAGCAAACCTAGTCAACGCATTCTCCCCTCCACTTCCACACACATGCACAGCAGATTGCAAACTTCCCAGCCCACCCCAGTAACTGCCCCTTTAGCAGCAGCAACCAACAAGCAACCAGAGAAGTGTGGGCTCTGTGCTGTTTCACGGCGTCTTTTAGTCCAGCTTCGCAGGATTTCCCCTACTAGTCGGAACCCATTGGTCGTTTATCATTACTGAAATTAGGGTTTGTTTGTTTGTTTGTTTTTGTTTTACTGCATGTCGCCTAGAGGCCCTCGCGCGAGGCGGCTGACGAAACAGAAGCAACGGTGCCCCCCGCGAGCTTCTAGGGTTTTTAAAAACTCTCGCCTGAAACGCCCCCCCCCCACACACACACACCTTAACCCCTAACCCCCATCCCACGCGCCCCTCCGTTTTTAAAAAGGCCGGGCCAGACCAGGCCGGGTTGCTGCGAGCTGCCCCCTCGACCGCATAACACCCTCCACCCCCCGCAACGGCAGCCGCCTTAAGCCCCGGTCAGCCCTGCGCCCCCCCCCACCTCCTCACTCACCAGCTTGGGCTTGTTCTTACTCTCATCCTCAGGGGCGCGCCAGCCGCCGCCTCCGACACCGCCCCGCCTCGGGTTCATCTTACCCGGCGGTTCCTCACCGCCGGCTCCCTGGTTCTCCATGCCGCCTCTCTTCCCTTGCCTCTCTCTCTCTCTCTCCCTTCCCTCAGGCACTCATGGCGGGATGAAGGGAGGCGCCCGCCCCGCCTCGCGAAGTCTCTTTCCCACCCCCCACCCCCTTTTTTTTTTTTGGTCACCGCCTTGCTCTCCTCACGCTCGCTCCGCTCCTGTCAGGGCACTCGGCGCGCGACTGGCGGCTTTCTGCGCACGCGCTCGTTTACCCACCCACCCCTCCTCCTCCTCCTCCCCCTCCCTTGCGCGCGCCCTGACGGCAGACGGGCCGGGGAATCGAAGGAAGGAGACGGCGGGACGTAACCCCCCCCCTCCCGTCTCTCTCGCGCACAGGGGTCTCCTGTGTGCGCACGCGCAAGCCTCTTGGCACGCTGAAGCCGCTAAGGCGCGCCGATGCCCTCACTCGTGGCTGAGGGTGAACGAGGGATGGGGCCCGGAAGCGGTTCGAAGAAGACTTGGGTGAGCGCCGAAAGAAAAAGCCTGGCGGAAGTGAGTGCCCGGATGGAAGGCAGGCAGAAGGGGAGAGAGAAGGGTTTGTGAAAGGGAGATGAGTCACAAGAAAGGAGCGGATTAAGAAGTAGGGGGAGGGAAAGGGGGAGGGGGCAGCGTCTGTCAAGGCTCAGACCTCTCTTCAGACCTTCCCTGGCACAGGGATCCTGGTGCCTCACAGCACAGGCGGGAATTCAACAGGGTCCCTCTGCCAGGACACCCCACTCCCGACCTGGATATTGCAGTATTCCAGCTACAAAAAGATATTTCACAAGTTGAAAGTGCTGAATTGGAACTTATCGAGGAGTTTGAGCCGATCTGTTTAGGCATGATAGAGACAATTCTTTCCTGCCATGCGACTGGTGCTCATTAACCTAGCAGCCCTAGAATGATTGCCTTTATCACCAGTTACTGCTGTGGTGAATTATCACTGCGGTTCATTTGCTTAAAGTTTCTTTGATTTGCCACATTTTTTTTACTTTCGTTAGCCCTCCACGTGAGACGAGATGAAACTTCATGCATGTGATGGAAAACTTGTGCCAAAATAAATCGGTCAATCTTTGTTCCTTGTACTGTAACAGAAACACAGCCAGCCTAACCTACTGTATCCCCCCCCCCCCCACACACACAATACCTGAACTGCATATATTACTTTCATAAAAAAGAAGGGCGAAAGGGGTGCTAAAGAATAACACATGAAATTATTGCGTTGGAATTTAAATCTGGGCCCCCGTGTACAGTACCAATACAGCATTCTGTTCCCTACACCGTGTTGAACCATCAGAATGTAAAGACATCTTGGTCATGTACATTATCTTCAAACAATCCTAATCCATATTGATATCCAACCATATGATATGAACACACATGTGAGAGACTACTATCTTGATTAAGCTAAGGTCTCGTCAGTGGCAAGATAGATGACTCCTTGAGAACTACATGGGTTGATGGAAAAAAGGTGGGAGATATAAATGAAATTTTAAAAATAGAATACAGTAGCAAAGGAGATATCTGTAATATAAAATAAACACAACTAATTACATAGATACTCAGTGATTCCTGTTGGAAGTTTCACACACTGCTTTCAACGTTTCCCCTAATTCTAGATAAGTTGTGCCTGGTAGTGGTTACTGACTCATGAGGAAAAAATGCATTTTTTCTGCATTGTTTTTGTACACCTTACAAGGCTTAGCTAGGAACTGAAAATAGATTCCACACCAATGCCTTGGTGAGCTTTGTGCCAGTCTCCAATTAAGCTGTGGAGCTTCTGATAAAAGAGAGGTGTGTGATACTAATATATTTATTAATTAATTATAATAAGCAGGCAAACCTCCAGTACCTGCTAGCAAAAAGGGTGGCAAAATATGGCATATGATTGTAATTGGGGAGGGGGGGAGGGAAAATACTAGACAGACCTTTTCCACAGACGTTCTAAACAGTTTCAGATTATAACTTTTAATGATGATCCCATGTTAGTGACCCCAGCCTCAGCAACTCCAATCTCTCCACTACAAAAGTTATCCTTCACTTTTACAATATCTTTTTAATACACAATTTTGTTTCTTGGCCCTATAAAAAATAATAAATCATGTATACCACATACGTTAGACCAAAGTTCTTATGCAGCAGATCTGTACTTCTTATGGAAGCCATAGAATTAATTGCTGATCTTACAGAGCTGAGTGTTGAAATTGTCTCAAAGCAACATCTGGATGTCTTCAACTTCCCTGCTGGTGCTAGATAAGTCTTTTATTCTATCCCCTGGCTTAGAGAATAGTTAAACTAGATGCTTTTTTACTGTCCTTCATAGCTATTAGACTACATTTGAACTATTACCAGAGGTTAGCTTCTAGAACAGCAGCTGCATATGCCTGGAATGTGAGTCTTGTGTATGACCAACGCTTGTTTGGTATTGACTATTAGAATAACAGGATGAAATTATGTGGGTAGTTTGAAAGGAGAGTATGATGTCTTCTGTATTCTGAAATACTTTAGTATGATCACAGGAAGTATGGTCTTCCTAAAGGACTATCTGGCATGGAAAGGAAACATGGATGAATCTTCATTCAAACATTAAGCATTTTAATATTGTGATTTTATGAGACCTGTGGGTATGGAGCAGTATACAATTTTAATAATAAATAGTGATAAATAAAATAAATAAACAGCCCTATAAACTGCACATAACTCAACCACTTTGTTGATCAAAATCAGCACCAAGCATCTTGAAGCAGCTGTCAGAACTGCAGTACCATGGCACGGCCCATCCTTGACATCTGCCTTGAGCCTAGCTTCACTTTATTCCCCCCTCCCCCGGCTACTCCAAGCAGCAGTGGACAAATGGATTTAGCTGCCATTTTAATTTCCTCCAACATTTTGGATGAACTTCCCATTGGATACATAGCAGGAAATGAAAATGAAAGGTAGACGTACATTTTGCTGTTGTTATTATCACACCAGATAAGCCTCCTAGGACCAACTGATGGTTGCAGTTAGGTATGTACCAGCTGATAAGATTCAAATAAACTATTCGTGATGTGCAAAAATCACTTCTGTAGCTTTGGGAAGCCACATGATCTGTTTTGGAGCTACTCCACCTGTGCCCTCATCTGGTCAGGTGAAGTGATGGGACATCCTGACCGAAGTGACATATGCTGCTTTGTGTATAAAGAGTGTATGGATGTTTGCTTGGGTGCAGACAAGCCATCTCCTGGCTGTTGTGTCCATCCCCATGTCTGTAAAGGCTGGGAGACCTGGCAGGCTGATTTGCTGTAAGTCTACACCTTTCCTTTAATAAAGCGCTGGAACTCATCAATCTGGTGTTTTGGACATCCTCCTTTGGTATCCTTGGACCAACCACTCCCATGATTCCTCCTTTGGGTCAGCAGTTCAGAGCAGAAACTCTCTGGGGTTTCAGGCCAGAAGGCTCTCCCGGCCCTACTGGAGATACTGAGCTTGAACCTGGGGCAATCTGCATGCAAAGCAGATGTTCTGTCAAGGGCCTGCTGCCCATGTAGTGTTTCTAAGGATGGGGAAACTATGGCCCTCATGTTATGGTATACTACAGCTCCCATCATATCTGGCCATTGGTGATGCTGGCTGGGACTAAATGGAGATGTAGACCAACAGCAGCTGGAGGACGACATATTTCCCCCATCTGATGTATTCTATCAGCCAAGCACTTTTTATCTAACTCATTTTCTATTTTGGAGTTTGTCAGAGGGAGGGAAGGTGCTCGGGCAACCAGATGGAAAGTGGTGGTGAGGAAGAAGATTCAACTCCCCTCACCCATATGCCCCTTTCAATGAAAGAAAGTACAGAGAGAGCATGTTTGTGCGGCAAACACAAATGAAAAAAATGTGGTTGTCGTTGCTATGTCCAGATTGACCTTCAACTACTTTAATCAGAGAGTTTGTGCAGTCATTTATCAGATACACAAAGATTTCTCCTATGCCTCACAATAGTTATTACCACTGCTGTTCGTGGGTATGATAGCTGTAAACACCATTTGCTAACTTTGACAGTAGATAATAGCGCTGGCAGAATACCAGTCTTGTTACAACAATCATAAAACTGTAGTACTTAATGCTCATTTTTATTAACTATGCACTGCATAAAGTGAAGTTTTTAGTGTTGAGCAGTCTATTGCAGAGATGGCAACTAATTCTGTTGATTAACAGAGTTCCTTTCAGCTTTTGCCAGGGGCAACAAACAAGTCTGCATGAGTTTTTCACATCCATGGCTTTTCACAACTGACAATTGGACTTAAGTGTCTCAGATTTGAACTTATAATTGAAAGCTGTACCTTGTTGAAGACAGGTTCTTATATATCATGTTGCTTGCATCTGGATCCCTGCCACCTTGAGGAGTAGTTGCATTTAGACAACTCACAGATCCCCCATTCAGCAGGGAATAAGTCCTCAAAAACCCCTTCTGTACTGTTCCTGTCACCATATTTGTGCCCTTTAAGGATTGCCGACAGCTCTCCCAGGAAGTGGAGCCACCCAAAGGGTAGGTCTTGCCTGTCCTCTTAAGCCTTCCAATGACTTTAATCCTTGGCTGCAACAACTTTCTGTAGCTCAGCCAGCAGGGACTACAGCGTGTTGTCCAAGGCCAGAAGATGTTCTGATCATTCCTGCCGCTTCTCATGTAAGCTCTTAAACCCTAACAGAGCAGGATAATCACCAACTTTTCTTATGGAGCATTTTGTCTGCTTTTATATATTTTATTTAAATGCTTCTGTAAACCATTTACTATTTCTAAAATCTCTAAGCAGTGTACAGTCTAAAAAACAAACAGCATGCCATTAAAGCTAAACACAACCTAAAAAACCAATAAAACATGTAAAAGCAAATAAAACAGAAATTCAGAGGACTGGAAAACATGAAAAAGGTGCCAGCGAAAACCTGGGTGTGTTTGGAGGATAAGTTTTCACAGTATAGGGGCAACAGCAGAGCAGGTCTATTTTCTTGTTATTGCCCTATGATAGTGTTGCACACCAACTCAATCTCCAGGTGCTTCCTTGAGTTCACATTGCCTTTTGGAATGAGGCACAGCGGAGACTCTTTATTTGCAAATATATACAACCTGATCCTATGATGGAGGAGTTCACATCCTTAACACCCCAAGGGCATGGTGTTAATCAGGCATGGCTCTGTCTCTGCCTTTCCAGTCTGCTGCTTTTGCATCCAGCTTCTAGTTCACATCACTCAATTCTCAACTCTGGCTTTTTGTCTTTCTAGCTAACAGACCTTTGAGGGAGGTCGGTCCACCCATTTGCCCTCTGCCAAATTTTTCCCTTAACAGCCCTTATGAAGAGGACCATTATCAGCCTGGCCTGGCTATTCCAGCAATTGAATCTGTGCTGGATCCAGGAATTTAGACCTCAGGTGCCAAAATGTATTGGGCTGGTCCTGACTCAGGTGTAAAAGGTGGCTTATGGAGACAGTTGTGGGAAGGACAGCAGCAAATGGTAGTTGGTTTAAGGCTAACTGGTGGAAAGGCCTTCCTCTCTCATCTCTCACAGAGTGAGAGCACTCATATTGGTTCTTCATGTGACAACTTATATAGGAAATTCATCCTGTGTGACATGGATCTGTTTCTAGTGCATTTCGGATATCGTGGCTTAATGCGCTCAGTTGCCAGCAGATAAAATGGCTAAAATAAGCTGATAGTGTTAGATTTTCCATCTCTATAGCTCTTGCCATTCAAAATTACTACCTGCTCTTTCATCTCATTCCACGGATTTCAGAAGACTCAGGGAGTTCTTGACATAAACTTTTCCTCATTTCAGACTATTGGCAGCTCATAAAGTAGTCATCTTTAGCATCATAATCACTATGTTCTGCATTCATGGTTGGAGGAAGTATGCTAGTTGCTAGGAATAACAAGTGGAGACAGTACTGTTTCACACTGGTCCTGCTTCCAGGTCACCTATAGCCTGTCTGGTAACTGCGAGAGCAGGATGTTGGACAAGATGGGCCTTTGTTCTGATCCAGCCTGGCTCTTCTTATGTTCACTTGAAGCTTCATACTGGACAGTATGGAACTGGACCCCAGTTACATGGACTCACAGTTTTTGGGATGCCTATTTGCACACGAAGGCAGGGTGAGGCAGAGAACAATTCAGCTGGGAACAAAAGTGGGCATAGATACTGCATATTCTAATGTGTATGTATTTAGAAATAATTTAGAAATAGTTACTATAATTTTAATAAAAATACAACATTATTACCGTAGTGAAGACTCTGGCTAGTTGACCTGTGTGCCTGCTCTATCTGCCGTCCAGGTTGTAGCTGCTGATGGGCAACTTCAAGACTCCTTCTTAAGGTTCTTTATATTAAAAGCAAGCTAGGATCAAACAGCCCTTCAAAGAGTGGCCTCCGATAGCCCTTCAAATATAGAACTTGTTGGGAATCTCAGATGAGATACCCATGCAGTGGACATTGCTCCCAGTACCAGTCACCATACAGAAGCAGAACTTCAGTAGTTCATCTAGTTTACTGTTGCAGAAGATAAGGCTCAGTAAAACAGTTCTGGGTGTAGATATATACAGCTTGTAGGCTTTTGCAGATACAGATATATACAGATACAAACAAGTACAAAGTATTTCTACTGCTCTAAATAAGTCCAGTAATTCAAAATGTAGCACTGGACAAGGTAACACCAACAGACTTACTACGACTCACAAACTAACGGATTACTGTGCTGACATTCATTCATCACAAATATAGTCAAGGCACTGAGCCTTGCACCTGCTATAAGCTCACCTTTGGGGTGATTTATGCTCATGAAGGAAATTAACCTCTTCTCATGTCTAGTTACTCCAACAGACTGTTCTCTGTAGAGCAGGACACATAGCCACCCTCCCAGTTTTCCAAGGCATACTAAGACTGATTGGTCATAAGACTGAGCTTGAAATGATTGTTGCTTCAATCCTTAGTTCACATCTGAATGCCTAAGAGAAAGTTTCAAGGGACCAGCAGAAATTGCTCTCTGTGGAGAGCCTTTTAGAAGCCTTATGGGTAAATGCATGTAGATTTCTAAAGATGCTAATTTCCTGTTTGATGAAGCAGAACATCAATGCAAGGGCAGTATAATTTCTGTTGATATGGAAACAAAAAGGCTAACTCCAAGGTTAGAAGCAGTGTTCATTGCACACAATGAGGAAATCACTAAGTGCTAATTGCTTCCAGTGATTTAACCACAATTTACAAGCATAATTGCTGTTCCGATTGTTGTCTCTGGAGGATAGAACTTTGGGTGTTCCCTGGTGTACGTAAGCTTTATTGGGCTTGCTAACCAGTAAACAAGGCTACAGTCCTATACCCACTTCCCTGAGAATAAGTCCTATTGAACTCAATGAGACTTACTTCTGAGTAATCAATTAGAATGCACTCAGGTGGACGTGTGGGAGCCTGTAAAGACATTAGAGAAATTGGGACAAATGCCTTAGATTCTATCACTGGCAGAAGGAAGAGATGCTGTAAAATTTTGGGTCCTTTGTAGCTGCCCAAGGCTGGGTACCAAGTTTTCCACCCAATTTGGTTTATGGAACCTTCCAAATGCTGCAACAAACTGACTAATAGTGTGCTTCTGAACACAGTTTCTCAGAAGTAAATCACATTGAGATCAATTTGTAAGTGTGCTTAGGAATGTACCACGGGGAGAGCCAGCATAGTGTGGTGATTCAAGTGTCAGAGTAGGGCTGGGGAGCCGTGGATTCAAATCCCTATTTACGCATGAAGCTCACTTGGTAACCTTGGGTTATCTCAGCCTAATCTATTTCACAGGGTTGTTGTGAGAATAAAACCCAGAAGTGACAGGTAGGGAGAAAGAAGGAGAACCACATACACAGAGATTCGTGGTGAAATGGCAGGATATAAAATATGGGTTCTCTTACTATTCACTTGTTGTATTTCCTTGGCGGTGAGAGAGGTTGGGTGTGGCTTAGGGTGTGGCTGGTTGCCTTTGGTTGGCTGTAGTGAGAACTGTTTTTGTGTGTGAGGGGGGATGAGTGTGTATTTTTTAATCAGGTTAGCTAGATTGATTTGTATGCTATTGGGGGATTCTTGTTGTTGTCTTGTTGGGCTGTGTATGTGATAAAAGGAACCAAACTGGGGTGAAGGCGTCTTCTTCTATTTGTCCCCGTGTCAGTTTATTGGTTAGTTTTTCTAATAAGGCTGTTTCCCATACTATTTGATACCACAACCCCTCACACACACTAAGTAGAATAAGAGAAGCATAACCACACCCCATACCCCTCCCCCTCTTGCCCCTTTTTCAATTAATAATAATAATAATAATAATAATAATAATAAAATTTATTATTTATACCCCACCCATCTGGCAGCTTCCAGCAAAATATTAAAATACAATACTGTAATTTTCTTCTTCTTCCTAATTGTTTAAATCAATTCATAAACCAAGAACTCATACATTGACCACTAATAATGAAACATATGTTGTAGATATTTTTCCACATTTATTATGCTATTTTTGTGGTATACATATGACATGAGAAAACTTGGTATACTTATTTATATGACATTATTTTACTGGGTTTTATAAGCAAGAATAAAGGATAAATGTAAAAAATAAAGTGCAGTAATTGATAGGGTTGCTCAGTAGGTCCAAAGTAGAGCCTAACCAGGAAAGGTGCTCTTAGTTTCACAAACAGGAGTTTTTTGTGCAACAATAGCATACCCTCCAACATTTCACAATAGTAAATTCGGTATACTTGTCGCATAAGGAAAACCACTTCGGTGGGATTTAGTGGTATACCTCAGTAAACATAAATCTATACTTCCCTTAAAAAGTATAGGGAATATATTTATATCATATAGTTTATTGCCATAGCATTTTTTCCAGATGTTCAGAATTTAAAGATACAAGATTTCAAAATCTGATGTGCAAAATTTGGCCTTCGTCATGTTTCCATATAAGACAGATGGTGTAGCAGGAGGCAAAATAAGAGCAATTGGGAGGTAATTACATTTAATGCATACTAGTAATCAAGTAAAGAAAAAAGTGGTGGTGTACCTTTTGAAATAGAGTTGGCAAGTAAATGATATAATAAATGTGGGAGACCACGCTTTCTGAAGGTGCTTTCACATCTATGCTCAACACTCACCATCTGTGCCAGCTTGGGAAATATGGATGCGTTGATTTAGATCCAAGTCCCCCATCTTTAATCTGATTTGTTCTGGACTTACTTCTGACTAGACATGTAAGCTACTCTTTGGGTCTTTTCTACAGGGTTTAAAAATGGTCTGCTTCCACTTAGTGTGCCAGTGTGGTGTAGTGGTTAAGAGCGGTAGTCTCGTAATCTGGGGAAGCGGGTTCACGTCTCCGCTCCTCCACATGCAGCTGCTGGGTGACCTTGGGCTAGTCACACTTCTCTTGAAGCCTCTCAGCCCCACTCACTTCACAGAGTGTTTGTGTGGGGGAGGAAGAGAAAGGAGAATGTTAGTCGCTTTGAGACTCCTTAAAGGGAGTGAAAAGGCGGGATATCAAATCCAAACTCTTCTTCTTCTTAGGAATTTGAAATATTTATGTGAACATGTAGTATTTTCCCATTCTTTGACTTCAGAGAGATTGCCGGATGTGGACTTAAGTACATCTTCATTTTCCATGTTTGCTTGCTTCTACTCTGCTCTGACATCGTAGTGGCCAAATTGTCTGTGCTACAGACTCTGTGATAGAAATCAAGCTAGATATCTTCTCTGTGGATCTGGATTTTGCTGTTCTTCTATGACATTTTCTAAGCTGCAATAATGGGAGCAGGAGTACAGCCTAAAAGTTACCACTTCTGAACACATATGCGCAACCAAAATGTTTTGAGAACTTTTGGTGCTGCCTTCTGTGCTGCCTGTTCTCAATCACCTTTTAAAAACAAAAGGGGAGAGATCACATATGGTCTGTGTAAGCACATGGGGGTGTATATCTGCAGCAACAAGGCTCACACTGCGATGCTAAGGACACTAGTGCATTGGCACCACAGGACTGGGAAGAGCCGTCTTCCAAAGAGAAGGTGGTCTAGAAGAAAAGTTCACCTGAAGGTCAGCTCTCCTGAGCAAACTTGTTTCAGGCTCTAAAAAATAATAATTCTTATTTTGCATTTATTTTAGGCAAAAAAAATATGTTGCACTCTGATTTACAGCCAAGCGTGGAGAAATCTGCTATGCAGATTGACAATCCTATGAATAGCAAGAAATGCTACCACTTTCAGTGGGGTAGTTAGGCCATTTCAGATTTCATTCCTGCTCCCCCCCCCACACACACATTAGATGGTGAAAGTTTTTTGTGAGTCGTTGAGCAATAAAGTAAATTTGGCCCTGCCTCCTTCAGCATTACAACTCCCCCTGTTTTTTGGGGGGGAGGCTGCTCATTTACTCTTCTGAGTGAGGGTCTGCCCTTTTGCTAAGAAGCCACTTAATGCATCAAAAAAGAAAAGGACAAATGAGTACATCAGTTTGCATAAAATGTCCCTTACCTGCTAGTTTTTATCAGCCATGAAGGGCAAGGGGCCAGAGCACAATGGTCTCCCTGAACCAACTGAAACTTATCCCACACAACAGAAGAAGCCTGTGCTCTGGGCAGCCCTTAAGATTCATCTGCTGTAATAGTAGGGCTGCCAGACGTCCAGCAGAATTGACTTCCAGGAGAATTTCTGAAATGTCCTGGAACTTAGGTAGGTCAATCGAAAAATCACACTTTTGGAGAGCATTTTTGTAAAAAAAAAAATGCTCAACAACTTTTGGGGTGTCCTGGTTTTTACTTTTTGAAATATGTCAATGGAATAGCGAGGGACGCGGGTAGCGCTGTGGTCTAAACCACTGAGCCTAGGGCTTGCCGAACCGAAGGTCGGCGGTTCAAATCCCCATGAAGGAGTGAGCTCCCGGTGTTCGGTCCCAGCTCCTGCCCACCTAGCAGTTTGAAAGCACGTCAAAGTGCAAGTAGATAAATAGGTACCGCTCCGGCGGGAAGGTAAACAGCGTTTCCGTGCGCTGCTCTGGTTCGCCAGAAGTAGCTTAGTCTTGCTGGCCACATGACCCGGAAGCTGTCTGTGGACAAATGCTGGCCCCCTCGGCCTATAGAGTAAGATGAGTGCTGCAACCCCAGAGGAGTCCACAACTGGACCTAATGGTCAGGGGTACCTTTACCTTTATATAATAGCAAAGTCAAGATCTCAATGGATGCAAGCAATTTCATCCTCAAAATGCTTTGCAAACATGTCACAGCAAGCTGCCATCAGTTCTGCCACTTCCTTCAGATTGGACTGTAACAGGTCCTGCACTACCCGGAAAAGCTCTGCTGGATGAGGGTACAATGAAGGAACAATAGAGGTAGCAAAGCATGCCTTCCTTCCTGCCTTCACTGTCTCAATGATGAGCCCTCACCAGTGTTTGATTGCATTAACTGAATTTTTCCTTCACTTGTGTTAGACGTTTGGGACAGTCATGCATCTTCTTTGGTGGAGAAGATACCCAAGATTGCAGCGTACTTTATGAATTGCTTCTCATGAGTCATCCCAAAGCAATTTACAATAACGAGAGAGAGAGAGAGAGAGAGAGAGAGAGAGAGAGAGAGAGAGAGACTGTATAAAAAGTTAAAGCAATTGCACTTATAAACACTGTATATTTGTAAATATGAAGACAGTTTAAACAACTGCAGGACATACCATGGGTGTAGCCAGGGGGTGGGAGGGGGGCACCTGCCCTTAACCAAGTAAACAAATAAAAATACTTAATTAACTGACCAATTATGCCAAGGATAAATCAATTCTGCCCCCCTCCCTACATAATGCCTACTCCCCAATAAATCCTGGCTGTGCCCATGTCACATATGCAAAAATCAGTTCAAACTGACAACAGAAACAAATCGGGATAATCTGTATGCACAGAAGTTTTTTTTAGGTCCTATATAGGTGCAGAAGCAAATTTACAAGTGATGCTTTCTAGACTGTCTACGGAACACCTGCTCAGCTCGTTCCCTCTGGCTAGACCTGAATTGTTTCTCGCTTATTTACTCTCATAGTATCTCCTGATGAATAAAGGTTTTTCAGCCCCACCCTGTTGTTTGGCTCCAGAATCTCCCTCCGCCCACAACATTTCTCTTCGCATAGGTGAGGGGAAATAGTATTTGTTCAGAGGCTCTCTGCTGTTATTATTGCATACATGCACAGGTTTGATTCACTGCATTCATTCTTAAAATGTAATTTATTAATCCTGTCTCATCATAGGGATGAGCAGCCCTGTTCATCCTATGGAAGCGTGAAATAAAAAACAGCATTGCCGCAAGCAAGTCAAGACCATGAAGTGACTTTGTGCCTGCGAGTTAAGCCAGTTCAGCAACAGCAGTGCTGGCATAGTGCCTGCTCAGGAGGGTAAGAGCAGGGCAGGTATTTAAGGCTCACCTTGCCTCTGAACTTGGCAGACGATTCTGTCTTGTCTCTTCCTATTGTTCAAAGCAGCACAACCAGTTCCAGTGGAAAACCCTCTGCCCTGGAGCTGACATGGGGCTAAACCTAATACGGATCACCCAGTGCTTCTAGATGCTCGCTGCTGAAGATAGACTAAAGCAAGATGGGCCAGCTGTTAACTTGAATATTGCAATAGTTTGGGATGGGTTTTTGCATGGTTTGCTTTTTATATTTAACTGCTGCACTGATTTTAAGTGTGAAGTAAATAATGTTGTTTTATTGTCCTTGTGTGATAGTCAACTTTGTTTTGTTCAGAATACACCCATTGAAATTAATGAGCACAGCTACATTAAGTGCATTAATTTCAATGGGTTTACTCTGAACAAATCTCAGTTGGCTACCACCCCTTGTTGATGATTTATTAACTGGGATGATAAGTTATCCTGAAAAGCAGCTTAAAAGTCAAATACCGGTAAATTTAAAAAATGAAATAAACTAGGAAAAGTCACCTGAGCCCCAGACCTTACTGTGGAATCAACTTTAAATCTCAGAACTCCATCCTGAAAAATATATGTAGTAATAACAGAGAAGCATGTACTGAGTGCTTCTTTATTTATGCACAGCCATGACGCTTGTACCCCTATTGACTCAGAGTAAGTGATCCTCCAAACTGCAGAGGATCTACTACGATTTGGTGATCTAAGAATGTGTTGTAGGCTTGTAGGCTTACTCCTACTCTGCTTTCTTCCTTCTCGGGCACTAATAATTATTTTTTTTGGAACGGGCAACCTGGAAAATTTACTTCCTTTCCATTGCTTAATAATGGTTTTAAGATCAACAAATGAAATTCAGTTAGCCTTTCTACTGCCTAATGATTATTGACCTGTGGGAACTTAGAGAGAGATTTTTTTAAGCACAGGGGCACCAGTGTTATGAAATGCACTTCCTGCTGAAAAATTGTTGTTGTTGTTTAGTCGTTTAGTCGTGTCCGACTCTTCGTGACCCCATGGACCAGAGCACGCCAGGCACTCCTGTCTTCCACTGCCTCCCCAATCTGTATTGGTATTCCATTAACTTTGGAAAAAGCACCTGTTTCCACAGGCATCCCCTTGATCTCTCAACATGAGGCTCCTTGCTGTGTTGTTTTGATGGGACACTTTTATTGTGTATTTTGAATACGGCTATTTTAATGCTTGTGGTGGAATTGCTTTTTTGCACTTGTAAATAGCTTAGAATTCAAATTTGGCACTAAATTGTATAATATTAAGTGAAATTAATAATAAAATTTATTTTATTGGACATTTGTATGCTGCCCCATATAACAAAAACATCAATTTCCATGTTGCTCTACTATACTTTGCCATAATGTCCAAAACAAACAACTGTGCATAGTCATAATATCTACACAATAATAATTATTTTTAAATAATATTTATTGATAGTTTCAAAATTACAGAAAAAAAATAAATAAAAAACAATGCTACAGTACATAGGAAAGAAGAAAAAAGCAAAACATAAAAACCAATGCAACAATACAGTAAAAAGATAAAAAAGAAGAAGAAAAAAGACACAAATCCCATATTACATATCTTTAACTTCCATTTGCTTGTTTCATTGACCTCCTCACACCTCCCTTTTTGTATTCTAGTTTAATTAGTTATTTCAGCAAATTCTTTCCATCTTTCTCAATTTTTATTAAATAATTTATCTTAACAATTTAACCTATTAATTAACTCAACAAATCCTTTCCATCTTTTCCCCATATTCTGTTATTCAAATTACCTTAATTTATTTAACCTTATCTTACCGTAAAATACCTTAGAGCTTGAAACTTAATACTCAATTATACATAACTCCTGATATCATTTCTACTAGAGCCATATAGTTTCATTTCAACATTTCCCCTAATATTCATTAATTTTAAGCTAATTCCCTAGATAAAAAATTTTCTTTATAGATTTTCTTCCAATCTTCATCCAACGTCTCTTCTTCCTGGTCTCGGGTCATGTCAGTCCTTACTGTCCATTCCATCTAGTCTATCAACCTGGTAGTCTTATGTCCGAGGCCCTTAAGTCTCTTCCATGTCCCTTCTGCAGATCTTCTTCTTCTTGTTTATACTTGCACTTTTCCTTGTCTTTTGTTGGTCTCTTTCTTAATTTCTTTCCTTTCTCATTAAGGAGTAGGTCTCTGGGGGGTTCCAACCCAAAATTATCTCCGTTTCCCTTCATCAAACCAGCCCATTCCCCACAGTCCCACTCCCCACAGTCATCAATGTAATCCAAAAAATATTTAAGAGCATATTTCAAAGTCTCTCCAAAGTTAAGAACCTCCTCAGCTCCAAACTCCCCCTGGCCCACTCCAACTTCAATCTTCAAAAACAGCGGCTTATGCTCCTGTAGGGCCTCGGGTCTCTCCATTTGTATTATTTGAGGTGCAACCACAACCTCCTCCATTATCTTCTGCACTTGCCCAATCAATACAGGTTCCTGATTTGGTCCCTGAATGATTTCTGTATCAATATTCCCTGTTTGTCCACAGTTACTGACCACAACAGTCATCAAATCCATTTTCTCATTCATCAAATCCACCTTCTCATGCATCTGTTCCAACAAAGCACTTGTCTTGCATAAAGCAAGCACCAAAACTTCCTCCCAGCTCATATTTAGTCAAGGTCAAAGGAACTGGTCCCACGATCTTAATCTCACAGCTGTAGAGTCCTCAAGTAGACTGCAGCAACAATTTAGCAAGCTCCTCTAGAGGAGACAATTTCTATTTGTATCCATCTTTTTAAGGCAAGTTCAACAAAGGAAAATTACTTTCATTTTCCAGATATTTTGTTTCTTTAGAATGCAAAAGGCAACATTGGAATCAGTTTATTACTCTTCTTTAGCTATCTGTCAAAGTATTCCATTCACAGTCAATAAACCTCTCCAGCAATTTCTGTCTCTGACACCCCGTTCCCAGGTTAGAGACGGTGGAAACTTATCTTTCTTCACTCCCTCTCCTGCAGGCTTTAAACAAAGCCCCCCCCTTTTCTCCTGCTTCCAAGGGGGTTTCAGTAGTTATAAATGAAGGAAATTTAGACTTTTTAACGACTTTCCAGGCTTTAGCTTACAAGGTTTTTGCTTCAGTCTATATACAAAAAGCGGAAGGCGGACTTCCTGTTTTGAACCTTCCCGCTTCGGTGCGAAATTAAGATATTTCTTGATCCAATTTTCCGTTTCTACTCACGGGTACTTGTTTTAGATCCAATTGTCCACAGGAAAAAGTCAGCGCTCTCCGGCAATGGCTATGCGGCTTCACTCTGTGAAAGTAGCAATCAGTTAGTAGCACCGCGCCGCTCACCCCACTTCACTCCGGAACCCGGAAATGGGGTTCCCCGTGAGTAGGGGGGCGCTCCTGGTGCCCTGCCAAACCCTACGTTCCCAGGCTTCCTCTGCCTGGGATTTCTAGCGGGTCCCCACCTTCGCCGCGGCGGGAAGACCCAGTTTCCACGGAGCCAGTTCCTCTGGTCGGAGGAACTCCACCATTCGCCGATGGCGCTAACCCGGAAGTCCCAATTTCTACACAATAATTACAAACTGTGCTCTAAACATTATTTGCCTAATATGGAGATCACAGCAAACTGTAATTATAGCGGCCCAGAAATGAAAGGGGGGAATCAGTGCATGAATGTTCATGAGGGAGGAGTGGCTGTTTGTCATTGAGATCTATAGCCTGTGACTTGTTCCTGATCCCCCATATGAGGATCAGCCAGGCAAAGTCATTGTGATAAGGAGGTATGGTCAAGGTTTCCCCCCAGGGTGGTTAGAACTCCGTAGCCCCATTCTGAAATAAAAAAGGGAAAGGCACGTAAAGCCAATTATGTGAGTTTGTTGATAGCCTCATCATCAGAATGTTTTGTTCTTAAGATAATTAAATAGCTGATTTGGGAGAAATTAATGCCCTGTAAGAACACAAGAAGAGCATATTTGGTCAAGCTAAAGGCCCATCTAATCCACTGTGGTCAACTGGGACCTGCAGCAGCACTCTCTCCTCCTGTGATTGCTAGCAACTGGTATTCAGAGGTACAGTGGTGCCCCGCAAGACGAATGCCTCGCAAGACGGAAAACTCGCTAGACGAAAGAGTTTTCCGTTTTGGAGGTGCCTCGCAAAACGAATCTGCTATGGGCTTGCTTCGCAAGACGAAAATGTCTTGCGAGTTCCTGGGTTTTTTTTTTCCTTTCCCCCCTCTTTTTCTAAGTCGCTAAGCAGCTTATCAGCTTATCGGATAAGCAGATAAGCTGCTAAAAGCCGCTAAAAGCCGCTAAAAGCCGCTAAAAGCGCTAATAGCGCTAATCCGCTAATCCCATCAATGGGCTTGCTTCGCAAGACGAAAAAACCGCTAGACGAAGAGACTCCCAGAACGGATTCTTTTCGTCTTGCGAGGCACCACTGTATGCTGCCTTTGACAGTGGAGGTAGAACACAACGGGGCTGATCCATTGGGGATAATGAAGCACTGCCCCACCAAACTCATTCTGCTCTCAAGTCAGCCCCCAGCTGGCTACCTTCTTTCTTCCAACCACTCTGGGTCCTGCTCTGCCTGCCATTGGCTCTCACCTACTACTGGTCTTCCTGCCTTCTGCCCTACCAATCCCAATGAGCACCAACCACCACTGGTGGAACATAGTCACCATGTAGTGACCCAGTTTGAGAAGGAATTCTCTGAAGCTGTCTTTCTCAACCTTGGGTCCCCAGATGGTGTTGTACTCCATTCCTAGTTAGCAGGCCCACAGTGGTCAGGAATGATGCAAGTTGTAGGCCAACAACACCTGAGGACTCAAGGTTAAGAAATGCAGCTATCTCTGCTCTTTGTGGCAGATTTTTATTTGCAGCGGAGAGATTAGATTGTAAAAAGTGGATGTTGTCACCCAGCCAACAAATATCAAGGTTTGTTTATAGATACTGCCTTTTAAAAAAGGTGGTAAGCACCCTTATTTCTGGTGAATTGGAGAGCGAACCAGGAAACTTAGCATAAATTGGCAATCTTAAATGGCAAGAGTTATTCCCCCAAATCTGATCTTTCTAGCTAAGTAATCTTGCCATGTCATTTTGCATAGCAACAGAGATAGGTTATTGTTGAAGCTGAGCTAATCAACAGCAGGCTTTTCCATTGCTAAATAGAGCTAACCAAGCTGCTTATGAGTCATCTTGGCTGGCCTGGGGCTCAGCTTGTTTAACCAATGGGAACTTTGGTGACTTGGTGCAGAATTATTTCTGGGAACAAAACCAGTGTTTATGCCCTAATAAATCCAGGGTTTCATATGATGTCAATTCTATTCAGAGCCCGGGAGTTAAGAGACATGACAACTTAGATCCATCAATTTCAATGGGTCTACTCTAAGTAGAACTTAGTTGAATCCAAACATTTTAGTCTTTTCTAAGGGCTGGATTAGAATGCACTTTTGAGATCTGTTTCAAAACTAGCATATATTTTTTGGTGGGGAGAGTAAACTCTTTACAGTGCAACAAGGATACAAAGTAAAATCAAAACTATGATGCTTGATTAGTGCTGAAGTTCTTAAACTGCTCATGAAATTAATATCCACATGCAGCAGTGGGTCATACATAATCGAAGTGAATTTAGCCAATAACAGGGAGTTTGGAACTAGATAGATGTGTGGTTATTAATGTTTGTACTCTGTAGCAGCTGTGAAGGCAATTTCCATTTTATAGCAGCAGTTGAGAAATAAACTGCATTGTAAAATCATTATTTATAAATAAAATCCTTATCTGCCCATGAATATTAATTACCCCACTCCACAGATGTTACTAAAGGAGTTTCCATATTATTGGGCTTGTTATGGCAACTAAGCAGTTCAGTGATGCCAATTATTTACCAGTGATCTGCATTCTCACCATTGCCTGACCCAGAGACAAAGAGCAAGCAGGTTAGGTTTAAAGCACGTTAGGTGACTTCAACAAATAGGCTTGCTGCTCTCATATATAAAATATGAGAGCAGCATGAATATTGGCTGCAGCCACCAAGATAGAGGTGCCACCTGGAGAAGGAGGAAGAGGAAGAGAAGTCACTGCCCTGCTGCTGCTGCCACTTTATACAGCAGCTATGGTGACTCTACTGTGCAAGACAGAAGAGGGCAGGGGATTCCTCTTCCTTCTCAGTGCCGCCTCTTCCCAGGTACTTCCTGTGGATGCTGCCGCACCCCGCTTCATTTGTGAGCCGGCCCTGATTATGGTTAAGAGTATGATTAGCTGAAATTCCCCATCCCAGTATTCTAACCCAATATTATCCACTCTGTATGGATGTGGTTCTCCAGAGTCTCGAGGCTAGAAGGAGGGCAAAAGGGTCTGATACAAGCCAGCTTCCTATGTACGTTCCAAACATGAGTGCATGAGGATATAATTCTGCATTTCCTAAAATGTAGGTGAATCGTGACTAATAAAGCATTGTTGTATTTTACAACTAAGTGTGAGCTTAGTGAGGACCTCCAGGATGAAACAACTTGGAATATGAAACATTAAAATCCATCCTAGCTGATAATTAAAAGCAACTGCTTCAACTTGAGTTGTTAGAAGGTTTTGCCAAAGATGTTCCTTACTTCTCAGTCAACAGTTGCTGGAGCTGCAATTTGCCTAAATAGAGCTTCAATCATGGAGAAAATTGACTGCATGCAGAATTTAATACTAATGCAAATTGTAGACTAACAGCCGCAATTACTGTCTATAAAGTCACCAGCAGATTAATTAAAATTGTATGTAGCATTCTCTTTTATAAGCTGCATTTCTTTCTTTCTTTCTTTTTATAAAAATATAATTTGTTCTATAAGGCTAGCTGCTTTCTAGGGACAAAGATACACTGCACCTCTTGTACTGAAGAGTTCACATTCTCCATTGATGTACTTAATAGTAACTGGGCTATTAAATTTAGAGAGGGGGGAAATAGTTGATGGCTTACTTAACCTTGCCTTGTAAAGACCTTTTGCTGAGATGGTGCAAAGCTGTTTTTCACCTGGGTATCTATTAACAACAGTGCAGCCACTTCAGGTGAAACTTGACAAAAAGAACCAAATAATAAAAAGGCGCAAATTGAAGTTAACAGCCTGTTCTGGAGAGGTTCTGCATTGAAAGCCAGACAGCAGAGGTTTGAAAGAGACAAAGCCATCACTGGGACTTGCTGAAAATGCGGGGTTAGAGCAATATCTCTTCACTTCTATACATTTGTTGCCTTTTTAGTTGAGAGAATACAATTCTATTCTGAAGCTCCCCAATGTAATATGGAATACTCTGTGGAATTCATGGATGCATTTCAAAACCCTTTAGATTTCAAGTTCCTTCTCATTGCAGCTGTTTTGGCAGTCTAAAAAGATAGGGTGATAAATTAGAAGGGCAATGGCAAAGTGGTACTGCTTCTGTTAACAAAGCCGTTTTACCAAGTTTTCCACGGGTAAAGGGAGGATTTTGGGAACTGGGTTGGGTTGGGTTTTCTTTCTTTTAAATGGATTGACTTCTTTGCTTAATTCCAAAGGATATAAAGGGTAAACTAGAAGTTATACAAGAAATCCGTGAATAGGATTGCCACTTAAAAATAAATAAACAGCATTTAGAATGTGGGGAGATTTGGATCATGGTCATAGTGCTGGGGCACTTTACTCTTTTCCCCATGCTGTTTTCCTGTTATAATGACAACAACCCATTCCAAAATAGCATTAAAGTGGCATGATGGTACTTTAAATTTATGCTGCAGAAGGGTTCTTAGCATAGGAGCGAACTCCTAGGGGCCAAAGTCCTTGCAGCCCCCGGATAAAATATTTGAGGGACCGGACTGACCTCCCGCTAAGCTTGATGGGCTTTGCCATTCAGATGGGGTTTGTGTGCTGTGTCTTGTGATTGATTACCGTATATGGTGCAGGGTATTACCTGGGTCCCCCCAATATTTTATTCAAGTTGGCACCCCTGGGCTTTAGTTCACACTCTAACAACACCCCTCCACACAAAGGTCGGGCTATATATACAGTTTAACCGTGCTGTAAAACAGCTGGCAAAGCATCCCTGTTCCCAATGAAATTAAACTTGTTTGTGGTATGTAGGAGGGGAGGGGTATTCCTGTTTATTCAGCTGCATGTGGATTAGTTTAAATTTTAGAGTCCAAACTGCTTCACCATTTGCGCAAACACATTAGGCAAAGTGTGTACGTACAGCTGTTTCCAATAATTAAATTAAGAATCTAAAAAAATAATAGTAGTAGTAGTAGTAGTTGTAGTAGGCCTAGCTGATTCTCATTGACATTTCAGGAAGAGAACCAAGCTACACTGTCAGCTTCCCAGTCACAGCACTTTCAGAATTAAGCTTTCTTTTTTAATAAAAAAAAAATCTGTTGATGTAGCAGCAATGAAATAAAATAAAATGTTGATGAGTAAACATTTTAATGCAAGTGTTATGAGCAGCAACAATCTGGAAACAACTTTTTATTTTTTTTATTAGCCATTGAGCATTTTATAACATCCAAGAGACATCTAGCTTAAGATAATTGCTGAGAAAAGCAACACTGGGGAATACCTTCAGGGAGGAAAAGGACACTATGAATTAGAAAACTGTTTGTGGGATGATGATAATAAATTGAGGACATATCCTCAAAGCACATACATTGATTGCCACACTAGAGCTTGCATAAGTCCTGAAATGTGGAACTCACAGAGTCATCCTAATTCCTGATCCACAACACTGGGGGTTGGGGGGGTGCTTAGCCTGTCTTGGCTCTCACCGCTGGATGAAAAACTTGAACTCAGGTTTCCGTTTCTGCCAAATTATTTAATGCATACTTCTGTGATACATGGGCAAAGCAAGGGTTAAAGGCACAGCAGGTAAATTGCATGGCTTAAGCATGAGCTGAAAGGTTGATGCAACAAGTTAGCATACCCTTTTGAAGAGCAAGGTTGTCATAAGAAAAATGAGAGGAGCTTCTGCTCTGCAACCAAATGGGCACTTCTGTGAGAGGGCTGGGCTTGTGAGGTTTGTTCATGTTGGTACCGGTCTCTCTGTGTCCTTAGCAATGGAGATGGTGACTCACCATCTGACTTACTGCCAGCTGCCTCCCGCAGAGGAGGCTCCATACTGGCATGGGGAGCCAGGTGGCTTTTTGGGAAGTGCCTGACTGGAGGTGTACAACATCACAGCGATGGGACACTTATCTGACAACCTGCTTGAATCTTCACCAGAATTCAGCTCCTGACTCTCTTGATCACTGCCCCCTCCTCCAGCTCAGGCATTGGCCACAATTCTGCCACACCCCCCCCCAAATCCTGCTTGGGCACTCCCCATGGGTCATGTAGCTCCAGCTCCCTATCTCTTCACCTACCTATTTGGGTTCTGCCCATCCCCTCCATGGAGTTTCTATGGGGTTCATGACATAGTCTGAGGTGGAGGTGGCACAACTGAGCCCCACTGAGCTCTGCTGTTGTTGGGAGTGTTCCTCCACCATGGATGGTCCTATTGCATTGGCCAGTTGTGCAGGCTACCATTTGCAGTGATGTAACAGTCCTCAAATGGAGGAAAATCCTAAACTGTTCCAGTAACTGGAAACAGCCTGGCCACCAAGCAATGACTGTTCTGTGCCAGCCTGGAGCTGGTACAGCAATAATCAAGGAAGATATCATCTTCCTTTCTTTCCTGGCCAGTGGCAGCTTCACTGCTCCATTCAGCCATGCAGCTCCCAGCTGGAACTTAGGTTTGCTCCATCAGCAAGATAGTTAGGAATGTCAGCAGAAGGAATAAATCAGTGACCCAAGGGACAGCACAGAGTGAGGGAACAACAAGCAGGAAGTGTCTCAGCATAACAGAGAAAGAGAGGATAGCACAGACCCGGGGTATGCTTACATTGCTGCTTACTTTCCATCCACTGCACCCAACTACTAGTTTTTGAAGCCGCATTCACACAACATTGGCCACAATCCATATTGACGCTGTGGGTTCTTGACAAATAGTTCTGTTTGATGCACTTTTTTTCTTCTCAAACCAACCTCAATCCAACTAGAAAACCTAAGCCACACTTCATGGTGATCATTTGACAGCCATTGTGCATATCCAGATGAACAATGCATGCACAGACAACAGCTCCAGGGAGTTTCAGGGGGTTGCAGGGACAGGGAAACCGAAAAGGCCATGCAAGTCAGGTGAAGACACCCTCACCCACCCTCTGATGTGAACAGCGTCATGCAAATGTGGCTTGAAGCACAGTGGAAGGAAATGACTTTGCTGTATTTCAAGCTGCTAACATGAATATACCCACAGATAGAGGAATTTAAGCGGTCTTGTGTGATAATAATAATAAGTTCCAACTGTCTCAAGACTGATAGCAAACTCCTCTACTCCACATTATAGACCAGTATTTTTATCTTCATGCTATGTTTTAATGGCAGATTTTCTCCCAAATCAAATCAAATCAAATTGGAAGAGGCCATTTCAATAAAGATGCAACATTTCTAGATAGCATAAATGACTGTGACTTAGAACAGATGGTCATTAAACTGGCCAGAGCAGGGAGGTGTCCCTGAATTTAATCTTAAGTGGTGCCCAGGAACTAGTGCCAGATGAAAGAAATGTTGAACTGATAGGCAACAGTGGGCATACTGCGATGAGGCTCAGCGTCTAGTTAAGTGGATAATTGCCAAGAGAAGTCCAACACAGTCACATTTGACTTCAAAGGAGGAACACATTTACACAGCTGTGAAAAGGGTGAATGCCAATTGCTTCACCTCAAAATGCACCTGGAAAAGGTTCAAAAAAGGGGCAGTGAAAATGATCACAGGGCTGGAACAACTCCCCTACGAAAACATGTTGCAAGATTTTTAGTTTAGGAAAAAACACACAACTATGCTTCTCCTTTACATCTGCAGGTGTGGCAGTGGATGTGATGGACTGGGTGTGTCTTGCCTTGGCAACGGACTGGATGAGAGCCAAGAAACTGAAGCTCAATCCAGATAGGACTGAGGCTGTTCCCTAGACCTAATGCATGGGAGGTTGCCTGCTCTCGACGGGTTTACACTCCCTCTGAAGGTACATAGCTTGTGGGTATTTCTGGTTCCTTTGTTGTTGCTTAAGGCTCAGGTAGTGGCTAGTAGCCCAGCTGCGCCTCTATCTGGACCAGGATAGCCTAACTTTTTCAAATAATATTTTATTAAGTTTTCCTTTTTTCCCCTTTGTCACAATCAAATAAAATCATGTCATCACATACATCTTTGCTCAAACTGAGCATCGACTTCCTCCCTTCCCACTCCCTGGCGTCTATAGATATTCACATTCATCTTAGCATTTCTATATTCCCCTATTTACCTTCTTTCAGTGCTTAAAAAAACAGTAACTCTGATATTTGTAAAGTCTTAACCTTACAAAATATTTTAAGTCAGTCCTGCAAACATTTTCAAATGTTTACAGTGTTCCTTCATATATTGTAAAAATTTACTCCTGTCCTTTTCAAACAGTTCATCACACTGGTTTTGGATTTTCCCTGCCAGCTTTGCCAGTTCTGCATATTCAATCATCTTAGTCTGCCATTCTTCCAATGTTGGAAGTTCCTCCTGCTTCCATTTCTGGGCTAAAAGTGTCCTCGCCACAGTCGTAGCATACATAAATATGTTTATGTCTTTTGCGGGAATTTCTTCTCCTATTATACCCAACAAGAAAACCTCTTTTTTTTTGCTAAATGTATTTTTAAAAACCTTTTTCAATTCATTATCTATCACATCCCAGTAGGCTTTCGTCTTAGTACACATCCACCACATATGAAAGAGATTCCCTTCCTTCTCCTTGCATTTGTATGTTCAAACCCAGAGACCTCCCCCTTAAATAAAGACACATTTGACTCAAATTTTAGTTTTGGTTTTTGGCAGAATTTAGGCCACAACTTTATTGATTACAGAAAAGTGAGTGGTTTCATAGGCTCTGGTTCAACTAGCTTCCTACACCCTTGCAGGTAGCGCTGACCCAGAGCTCTATCATAGGTAAGCGAAGGGTGACCTGAGGCAGGTAAAAAGCCTGGGAACAGACTCTGTTCACTCTGCAGATGCTACCCTGGACTCAGGCACTGGAACAACCCCCTTTTGGGGGTTGACCAAATCAAGTTAAGTCCCTGGATTCCTTTAACGGAATTCTCTTCACATAGGGATGGCGAGACCATTCTCCCATCCCTATCACATGAACCAGTGCCTATCCGCAACCTTACAAGTTGTGACGAATTGCTACGTGGCAGGCGAAACCCAAATGGCCACAGCCAATCAGCCAAGTGGGGAAAATTGCCCCTGTCCCAATAACAGACAACACATGACGGCATAGCAAGGTCAATTGCAAAATGCCCTAAAATTAGAGAGAGGTGGGCGGGTGTTCCGATGCACAAGCCGAAAGAGGAAGCTCTGGGACACATACATGAGTTTATATAGGTCCCTCAATAGGTCCCTCTAGGACCGTTATAAACAATAGTGGTGACAGTGGGCACTCTGTCTAGTTTCTTTCATTATCTCAATCTTTTCAGTCAAAGTATTATTGACTAATAGTCTTGCATTTTGTTCAGAATATATAGCTTGAATACCATTAAGAAACATTGGACCCATATCCATAAATTATATTTCCCTCCCCCCATAAAATACCAAGACACATTATCAAATGCATTCTTGCCAACTATAAACATCAAAGCTGCTTGTTTGTCTTTCCTAGAATCCAAATATTCAAATATATCAATTATGTTCCTGACATTGTCTTTCATTTGTCTCCTAGGTAAGAATCCAGTCTGGTCCTTTCCTATCACCTCTCTCAATACTTCTTTCAGTCTACTCACTAAAATATTAGCAAATAGTTTATAATCATTGTTCAGAAGTGAAATTGGCCTATAGTTTTTGACCTGCATTAAGTCTGTGTCTTGCTTAGGGAGTAACATAATATAGGCTTCTTTCCATGTCTCTGGGAGCTTCTTACCCATCAAGATACTATTCATAACATCTTTTAAAGGAGATGCCAGTTGGTCTATAAACTTATTGCAAAATTTTGCTGTCAATCCGTCCGGTCCTGGGGCCTTTCTAATTCTGCTTGTTTAATCGCTGATTGTACTTCATCAATCGTTATAAAGGAATTTAGCTGGTTCTTTTTCTCTGTGGAAATTTTCTGCAGTCTATTCTTTTCCAGAAATTCTTCTATAGTTATCTTATCCTCTTTTTCCTTTTTATATAATTTATTATAAAACTTTTGGAAATTCTTCCTCATTTCTCCCAGATTGTCTATTATTTTCCCTTCAACTGTGAGTTTAGTAATTGTATTCTGGTTTTGTCTCTTTTTTAACTGCCAGGCTAACAATTTGCCTGGCTTATTTGCAAAACGTAAAGCTCCTTTGATTCAATAATTTAATTTTCCACTCAATCTCTTCATTTATTAATATTGAAAACTGAGTCTGTAGAATTTTTAAATTTTGTTTCACTTGGTTATTAGCTGGATTTTTAAAAATCAATTTCTTTTCATTTTCAATTATTTGTTTCATTATCTTTTTCTTTTCTCCCAGTACGTTTCCGAGCACAACTCAAAGTGTTGGTGCTGACCTTTAAAGCCCTAAATGGCCTCGGTCCAGTATACCTGAAGGAGCGTCTCCACCTCCATCGTTCTGCACAGACACTGAGGTCCAGCGCCGAGGGCCTTCTGGCGGTTCCCTCGCTGCAAGAAGCCAAGTTACCAGGAAGAGGGCCTTCTCGGTAGTGGCACCTGCCCTGTGGAACGCCCTCCCACCAGATGTCAAAGAGAAAAATAACTACCAAACTTTTAGAAGACATCTAAAGGCAGCCCTCTTTAGGGAAACTTTTAATGTTTAATAGGTTATTGTATTTTAGTGTTTTGTTGGAAGCCGCCCAGAGTGGCTTGGGAAACCCAGCCAGATGGGCGGGGTATAAATAATAAATTATTATTATTATTATTCTCTCTCTCTTGTTCTTTTTTGAATTGAGTTTTGCTGAATTAAGAAGCCTCTTATTATTGCTTTACATGCATCCCATATCACATTTAGGTCAATTCCTTTGTTTAAATTCAATTCAAAATAATCTATTAGGATCTTTTAAGCTTTCCCCATTAATTTTTGATCATCCAACAGTCCCTCATTCATTCTCCACCTAAATGAGGTTTCTTCTTTTCCTTTCAACTCCATAGTTATTGTATTATGATCCGAGAGAGTTCTTGGAAGAATTTCTGATTTTATTACCTTTGGCGTTAAATCTCTGGCAATGCAGATATAATCAATCCGTCCTGCACTTTGATTTGGTTCTGAGAAGAAACTAAATTGTCTTCCTAGTGGGTGTTTTAATCTCCATATGTCAATTAAATCACTGTTTTCCACTAACGTAAAAAAAATGTTTCCCTTCACATCTATCTTTTTTCCTTTGAGTTCTGTCCATATCCGGAGAGCCCACCCCATTAAGGTCCTCCATTAGAATAATTCTTTGATCCAGAAATTCAAACAGCTTCTCCTCAAGTTAGGATAGCCTAACTTTTGTCATCTATGCCCTGGTAACCTCTAGGTTAGAGTACTGCTAACATTTGTCATGTGTTAAGTATTGCTTTCACAATTCTGTGGGACTTCCTCCCGTCTGAGATCAGGCAGCTCCCTTCTCTGTTCAATTTCTGGCAGCACTTGATGAATTGTTTTTTTAAAAAATTCATAAGGCCCCTCCCCTCAATTTTATGGTTAATTGGTTTTATGCTGTATCACATTTGCATCGCTGTTGGACTCCCCTTACAAACTGAGATATTAAGCAGTATGTAAATCATTATAATTAATACATTGGTGTGTGCTTTGAAACACAAAGTAAAAATCAGAAGTGCAATCACTGGATGGTACTGTATAATAACAGGCACATGATGATGAGTTTGGATTTGATATCCCGCTTTATCACTACCCGAAGGAGTCTCAAAGCGGCTAAAACTCTCCTTTCCCTTCCTCCCCCACAACAAACACTCTGTGAGGTGAGTGGGGCTGAGAGACTTCAAAGAAGTGTGACTGGCCCAAGGTAACCCAGCAGCTGCATGTGGAGGAGTGGAGACGCGAACCCGGTTTCCCCGATTACGGGTCTATCGCTCTTAACCACTACACCACACTGGCTCTCTTACATTGATTGTGTAAGCTGTTGTTAGCATGCCACAATGCTAAGACCTTATCCGAACATATTTTTGAAGATCAAAGGGAGGGATAAGTTCAGGGTTTTGGTTTTTTCAGCCGGAACTCGCAGGAACCCAGTTCTGGCACCTCTCAGGTGGGTGCCATTGCCATTCATGGTGAGCTCCGGCACCTCTGTTTCTAGAAATGTAGCGCTGATAAGTTGTTTTTGTTTAAGTTACTTTGGACAGACTCTGTCCTAAAAATGCTTGGAATTTATTCTGGCATTTTGGGGGGGGGGGCGTACTTTGGTGGTAGAAACTGCATGGCATTCTTCGTATGATCACGTCACAAGTTTTGCATTCCATCCTGTACTTTGGCCAGGTGAAACCCTTAAACATACTTTTCAAACACGAGCCAAGTTAGACCTAACATTGTGGGAGTGGGGGCGAAGAAGAGAAGGTGGGTGCTCCCCTAAAAACAACTTTGGCTGCCTCCCCTAAAAAAAGCTCAAAAACTTTGGGTGGGTGCTCAGCAAGTTCCACTACCTTTTTCTAGAAAAAAAGCCCTGCCTAGCAAGCATGGACAATGGTGCACCAAGGAGGTGACCTGAGGCAATCTGTCTTGGCCAGCATGTTCCTCCCACCCCACTAGGACATGGGTGGTATGTCTGGAAATCTAGTAAGAAGGAGAGTCCTGGGAAGACCTGTTCCCTGCCTTGCAGGCCTTTTCCCCCTGTCCTGGGAGGGCGGGGCCCTGACCGACTCTGGCTATAGAAGCTGAGGCTGCTGAACAGAATCTTGGGCTGGGGTGTTGCCTGGGGAGTTTTGTTGTGGGGAGTGTGTGTGTGTTTTTGTATCTCGTGAACTATGTGGAAATTGTTTCAGTTTGGCTGTGTACCTTTTTGATGTTTTGTTTATTCTTTATGAGTACTTTTGTTACGTTGCAGTTATATAATTTTTTTCATGTTGTTAAGCTGCCTTGAGCATGTTTGGAACTCTGGGAAGATGACATACAAGTAAAATGATGTATGTATGTGTGTATGTATGTATGTATGTATGTATGTATTATAGCTGTTTTTCTCTCTTCCTTTTATGGTGATGCATAAGTGATCAACATATACAGGTGATGATACATCCTGCACATTACTCATGCACATGGCTATTTTACACACATGTAGAACACATATGAAACAACAAGGGCTTCATGGTGTGAGTGTCTTTAGTGATCTAACATTTAAAACAAACTGTTTGTGCCCCCCTTTCTATGTGCTTTTACAAAATATAAGCAAAATATTCCTGCCAAAGCTAAGCCACCAATAACCTACTTGAAAGAAATGTTTACTTAAAAGGATACTTTAAAGAACAAATAACCCACGTGAAAGCCAATGAGTCTTATTGATTCCAACAGATTATTTCTCTTTGTTATTTGGAAAGCATGCTGATATCCTCAATCACCTTACAAAACTAGCAGCACCTTCTTTATTTCTACACTAGTTAATTCCTGATAATATTTGCAGATGGAGAGAAGAACCAAGAACAACTTTTAGAACAATTATATGGAGGCTTTTTTAGTTTATGGAAATATCATTCAATGTACCGGTCAGTTCTGCTGCTTGCTCGATGCAGAAGGAATGCAGATCTAAAGCCCTTTGATATTTTCCTCGTGATGGGTTTTGAAAGGCCTTTATGATCATCTAAATAAATGATAAATCCATCCACATTTCTTACCTCCTGAAATAGTTGTATAGTTCATACCTCATCAGATTTCTGCATTTTCAGTGAATTAGTCCTCAATTATTAATGGCTATGGAAGAGCAAAATGTGAACGCTAAATGCTAATCATGATTTCAATGTATATATGTGCGCACACACACACACACACACACACACACACAAAGAGAGAGAGAGAGAGAGAGAGAGCTTTATGCTTCCTAACCTGCTAACCTAATGATCATACTTTCTAATTCCAACAAAATCAAACCAATTCACCACTGAAACAGACAAAACATACTGTATCCTGAAGTGTAGAACAACATATAGAATATTGAGACTATATCAGTTGTTGTTTTTTAAGTGTGCTATTTGGATATACAAAATGACTTTCTCCTAAAGTTTTTGAATTATAGCCAAATATACTTACTTAATGGCCTTTAATGACTGGTGGGTATTAGCTACTGAACACATCACACATCTGCTTAGGCAAGGGCTAGAGAGAAACAAGTTTGGCTAGTGGAGTTTGGCTACTTTTGAGAGAGCCTGTATCTCTTTTCCAGCTCAATACAGATTCCTTCTTTACCCTCAGGTAAAAGCCTCAGTCTTCATGGACTGGATAGGAGCTGGGACAATTGCAAATTTACTTTATCTTAGACTGCAAGTCTCAGGGCAAGATCTACATCATTAACTTGCAACTGTTTCATAAACAAACAAACAAACAAACAAAAGCTGGAATATTTTATAGCTCAGGTAAGTGGGGCATACAAGCTGGATTGTGACCCACCCCTGGGATGCTAAACTTGACACTGTTCTTGATTGACTCCATCTGCACTGTACATTTAAAGCACTGTTGTATCACTTTAATCAGCCATGGCTTCCCAAAAAAGAATCATGGGGACTGAAGTTTATTATTCTGTTTATTATCCTGTCTTCCGGAGCTTTGAGGCAGCTTTGTGTCTTTTTTACATTTGTTTGACAGGGCTGACCATCGAAAGCTATATTCCCTTCCTTTCTTGTTCCCCCTTAGTCCCAATTCTCCACCTAGCTTAACTTTCTGTGGAGCCACATTAAAAGGTGTGTGGTAGACGTAGAAGGCTTAACAAACTACATTTCCCAGGATTCTTGGGTCGGGGTGGGGGGATGCCATGGTATGATGCTGCTTTAAATGAATAGTGCAGATGGGGCCATACTTTGCCTGGAAAATGTAGCAGCTTTTTTAATGCATTGCCTGTCTATTCCACCTTTCCTCCTAAGAGCTCATAGTAATGTACATGGCTCTCCCTCACACCATTTTATCCTCACAATAGCCCTGTGAGTTAGGTAAGCCTGATATGCTATGACTGCCCCAAAGTAATGTGGTGAGGTCCATGGCTCAGTGGGGATTTGAACCCTGGTTTCCCAGGCTGACACTCTAACCTCTACACTAGACTGGCTTCTTTGCTTTCTTCAGCTTCCAGCTCAAGACACTGACCTCAGGTCCTCTAAGCTAGGGCATGCACCTTCCATGTCTAGATTAAGTTGGTTTGGTCCCTGAAAGGGATAGACAATAAAGGTAAGAAAACACTTATCAGTATGAACTGTACTGCAGCGCTCCTGCCACACAATGACAGAGGAATGACAATTGATATAGAGTGTGCCACACTTTATTTGTAAAGGCGATTATTCTATTAGACAATTTCCACTGCCTTGACAAATATTGTTGTTGAGAAATGGTATACACCTTGACAATTAATCCAATCACGGGCCTATCTGGGAGCACAGATGCTGAGAGCTGATGCTTCATTTATTTGCTCCTTTCCAGTTCTGCACATCAAATAGCCAAGCTAATCAAGTTATCGCTGGTGTCTTGCAATGGAGCGGAGAGTGATTAATATCATTTCGTAGGAAGTCGCTTTGGAAAGCTTGGTGCGGGGGGAAAGGAGGAAAGAAAAGGGTGGTGACATGAGATGCGGATATGTTTTCAGTGGGCTATTCTAAGCATGAGCCATTATTGTTGGCAGAAAGCTGATAAAAACATGTTGGCGTAAGTGATGGGTGGCACTCATTGCCTTGCTCGGTGTGTTTAAATCAAAGTTGTTGTTTATAGCCCTTGGAGCTCAGGTATGTAAGAACACTAGCTTGATAACAGCAGCTTTGTGGGAGCAAGGCGGGGAGAAAAACAGGGAACTTTCAAACCATAGAAATAATACCATTTTATCTCATCAGCCACCAACAGCTTATATTTATGTACTTCTTGGTCTGTATTTACGTACCATAAATTTATGACTCCGACCACTTAAGTCATTTCCCAGGTGTTGCTATTCTCCCCCAAACATAATTTTTTTGCCATATGGATATGCAAATGTCAAACTCTCTGCACAGAAAAAGCAATCCCAGAACATAGTGCAGCCAATTACATTTTAAGTAACTCATAACTGTTATCTCAAGCTTTCTCTTATGTAAGTTTTATATTCTTGCAGAAATTCACATTTCACACTAGATCAGCTTCTTTCCCAGTATTCTCCTGTTTGTTAAATCATTTTCAGCCATGTAACTTGTGATGCTTGCTTCTTCCACCACCACTTCACCCCATATGGGGGAACTGCAAGGTTATGGGAGGACCTTTAAATTCCAGCCCAACGTCTGGATGTGATGAACCAAAATAAAGTTAAGTATCAGGCCTCCATCTGGCTTAAATGTGATAAAGTAACACTTTTTAAAATAGTCAGGGTGCGGGAGAGCAGGGGGATAAAAATTTGAGAAGTAACCATGGCTTTGGAAGATGTATTTTGTAAGCAAATAACAAGCCAATAAAACATACGGCAGTGGAGATAGCTAGACATTTCAAGCAACATTCTTTTAATTTTCACATATGCTTAACACTGTACTTTAAAAGCACAAAGTTCTTTAAACTTCTTATATTATCCTCAGAAGTAGGCGATGAGTAACAGAGCAAGCATCCAGATTGGCATCCCATCGTCTTCTCTTAAAACAGCTTAGTCGGTAGAGCAGGAGACTTTTAATCTCAGGATTGTGGGTTTGAGTCCCATGCTGGGCAAAAATTCCTGCATTGCAGAGGGTTGCACTAGATGATCCCTGTGGTACCATCCAACTCCAAAATTTGATGATTCTATGATTCTAAGGTAGCCTGTGAACAGGACTAGCCCTGCCAAAGTGCGTGGGACAGAGCCCCTATGCTATCTTCTTGGCAAGGTGGGTCACTTTTGATTACCAGAAGGAAGAAGAGAGTGGCTGAGGAAGCAGAAAAGTGAAAACACATCAGCAGAAGTGCTGGATTGGCTCCAGTGATGCATTTGCACCATTATTACCCTCGGAGGGGAGCTACTATGAAACTAGTGAAGTTTAAGCTTCAGGGCCCCTGATCTCAGAGGGGTCCCAGAAGCGGCTTAAGTGGATCCAGTAGTATATATTCCAACAATCCCAAAGTGTGAGAATCACACAGATATTGTAAAGGTAAGGTGTTGCAGTAAAACAATTTAAAGCAAAATCTGAGTGTAGATTTAATTAATTAATTAATTAATTAATTAATTGTGGTGAACCCCATTGAAGAAGATATGAGTGGTTACCCAGACCTGATTGCTGGTTGTGAAGGGCCTCCAAAATGTAGGTTCAACACTGCCTACTGCTTCATCCCTCTCCTTCCCAACAATCAACAATAACCCACCTGCCGGGAACCTAGTATGGTGGCCCCACCCCAACTCACGGTGGCATACGTAGTTCCCCCCTCTCTTCATTTTAGCCCCACATCAACCCTGTGAGACAGGTTAGGTTAGGAGACAATGACTGTCTTGAGGACATCCAACGAACTTCATGGCTAAGTGGGGATTTAAACCCCAGTGTCCCAGGTCCTAGTCCAACACTCAGGCATGTGCAAAGTCCAGCCCGGGGGCCTAATCCAGCCCCGCTGGTTGATTTAATCTGGCCCCCATGGCAGTATATGTCCTGGGGTAAAATCCTAAAAGAAGCTCAACAACTTTGGTCAGCCCGCAAGAATATTCACCAAATCTGGCCCTCTTTGAAAAAGGTTTGGGCACCCCTGCTCTAACTAGTACACTGCATTGGCTGTCATGAGTTTAGCCTCTGCACAACAGCCTTGCACAACACTGCCTTGATTACTTAAAAGTTGCTTCTGCTTGAGCCCCTGGAACTTTTAACAAGCTACGACGGGCTCGTAAAGCTTCTTCCTCTGATTCTTCTGCAGGCACAGCTGAGCTGATGGTCTGGCAACTTGCCCTTTGGACCATCCGGTGCTTGTTTCCTGGCAGATGGTCAACTTCCATTCACAGCTCTGAGTTTACATTACTTCTTTGACCACATTCTCATTGCCAGCCACTGTAGCAGGATTTTAGAAGCAGGCTAAAGAGCAAAGTTGTAGTAAATCCTATCAGATAGCCTATTTATTCTAGGGCAATGCTAAAGACAGTCGCCATATCTTTTAGAAATTCTTGATTTCTGTTGTATTTAATCCCCCCACCCAGCTGCACCCTAAAAACCAGAATGAAAACCAGTGTTGGTTGAGTAGATTGCCTTCTGAAATTTTAATGCATTCTGTCGGCGACAATATCATTTGCATGGACTTATTCTAAATGAAGCAATATCAGAATGTGTTTGCATTCTGATAGATAATATATCCCACAAAGATTTTTGGGATGGAAGAATCTCTTTAGTTTCAGCTCCCTCAGTTTCTAATTTTTCCAGTCTTAAATTTAGTTCTCCACATTTCTACAGCAATTTGCATTAAAAAAAAAAACCTGAATGAAAAAAACACTGCCATTTTAGTGGAAAATTTGTACACAATTTGTAGATATGCAAATTCCAAGGGATAGCTTGGTTTCAGCTCTCATATTGTTTCAGAAAGTGCAAATTTGGTAGCTTTGGCTTTAAATGTGAACAAAATCAATTAATTTCCCCATCGCAAATTCCAGGGATGAGGAACCTGGGGCCCTCCAGAAATTACTGGACTACCCCAAACTATCAGCGATGCTAGCTGGAGCTGATAAGAGTCCAACAATGCCTCTACAAAGGCACAAATATGTATCCCCAAGTTAATTCAGATATTACTCGGTATCCAAACCAAACTGCCACAGTGAGCAGGAGTTAAACTATGTAAGGAAATTTATATGTCTCGAACATAGGCACATAGGAAACTGACTTATACTAGGTTACTCTAGTGGTATGTTCGGTTCAGTATTGTCCCTGAGCTCTGGCCTTGCTAGCTAGGGGTGATGGGAGTTGTAGTTCAACAATGTCTGGGGACCCACAGGTTGAGAAAGGCTGGTCTACACTGAATGGTGGCAGCTCTCAAGGGCCTTAGGAGATGCCCTCCCTGGAGATGCTGGGAATTGACCCTGGAAACTTCTGCATGCAGAGCAGCTGCTCTACCATAAAACTATGTCCCTTTCATAGAAGGGACCACAAGGGTCATCTAGTCCAGCCCCCTGAAATGCAGGAATATTTCAACCCTTAGATTAAGAGCCCCATGCTCTACTGATTGAGCTATCCAGTCACCTGGTGCTGTTCATCAGGGGCGTAGCTAGCTGCTCTGGCACCCGGAGCGGTGGGAGTGGGGCAATCCACCCATGGGGCGGGCAAATCCGCCCAGGAGGGCGCCATGGGGAGCTGCCCACAGAGTCCACCTGGCAGATGCAAGCCCCACACTGCCGGTTTGGGCAGCGCGGGGCCCCGAGCCACCGCATCATTCCCAGGAGAGATGCATGGCTCAGGCACGCTGCAGGCCAGGCCCCACGGTAAGTGCCGCCCCCCACGGTGTGCCATTTTGACACCCCCCCAGGGATGACACCTGGGGCAGCGTGTCCCCACTGCACCCACCTTCCTTCGCCCCTGCTGTTCATAGGGCTGTGCTGGAAATCTGTTGCAAGAGGAACTCATGGGCCTAAGGAGATCAGGCTTCAGCCTGATTTAAATGTTTTTCGATAATCTGCAGTCCTTATAAATCACTGATAAGTGATTTATAAGGACTGAAATCTCAGCTCTACCCCTTTTTATTTTCTTTGTGCTTCTCCTTCAACAACTCTGAGCCAAGCAATGTTTTTGGAGAGAAGTAGTGGTTGGTAGGGAGGCATTAAAGCTAATAATGATTTGTGAATTCTTCTTATGATGCCTGTTCCTGGAGCTTAGAGAAAGCGGAAGGCGCAGCAGAAACAGGAAGCGAAACTGCCACAAAGCCTTGCATAAGTCATTAACAATGGGACAAAGAGACAACCTGCAAAGAACATGGCAATTTGCTTCATATATGAAACAGATTAATGCTAATACTGTGAACAGCTGGATAGCAGGATACTCAGTAATGAGGAAAGCCATTTTAATTTGATTTTAGTCTTACTTTTTAATTGAAGTTATTAGTGCTGTAACAAAGAAAAAAGGAAAAGGGGGGAAAGCACACAGCTGCTGACAAAAAAGAAGGAAGCAATAGGGCTTTACTCCTAGAACTAATTAGTTGTGGTCTTGGAACCAGGCAGGTTCAAAACGGGAGAGGGGAGTCCATAGGTGAAGACAGATTATTGTTCCATATTTAGCGCACAATTGCATCTCATGCAGCTACTCAGAGACAGTGACAGCAGGAGAGCTACAGAAGAGTCTTGTGCCAACTGCAGAGAGCCTTGTAGGGCTGCTTTGATGCTGACCTGCATATGCATATGTGAGCATAAAATAATTCCAAATCTTAGGCACCACCAATTGGAAGGGGTTGCACAACTTGTTTCCAAGAGGCTTTCAGTTCCACTTTACAAATCCGATGCTGTCAAGACTCTGTAAGGGTCAGCCCCGAAGGCAGAACCTGGGACTGTGGTGGAGAGTGGGCAGGGGAAGGAGAGTCAGCTCTCAATTTGGCCAGGCCAGTTAACTGACCCCAAATAGTCAGGGGTCAAGTTCTAAGGCAGCCATCAGAGATAAGGCAGAAGTCATCAGTCTCCAGTTCAATGCCTTTCATGTTTGAACTGGCTAGAAATTATGGGAGTTGTAGTCCAAAACATCTGGATGCCATCAGGGCGACATAGAAGCTTAGGCAATATCATCACACAAGATGCAAGATACTATGGCTTTATGGGGCCCTATTGACAGGGACTGCTGGCTGACTGAGTTGCTTGGGAACGCAGTGGCTATGACCTGAATCACAAAGGGGAAGCTCTGGCCCTCCAGATATAGCTGAACTACAGTTCTCATCTTCCCTGGCCATTCACCAGACTGGCTGGAACAGATTGGAGTTCCATAAATTCCCCATCCCTGACAATGATGGTGCCCTCATACTGAAAGAACTCAGTCTACCAGGGCAGTGGAAACAGCACTGATGGAAGAGGTGGTCAAGATTCCCCACCCCACCCCTGCTGACCACTAAGAGCACTGGCTTAAGACCCCCAATAGCATTTTATTTATTATTAATTCATTTTATTTTATTTGTACCCTGCTCTTCAGCCAAAAAGGTTCCCAGAGCAACTTACATACAATCAAAATGGGAAAGTCCCTACCCACAGGCATACAACAACACGACACACAAGGAGAAAGGGATAAGGAGGGAAGAGGAAAACATTTTAAAGTATCCAGGTTCCCTGACATTCACTTAGGGCAGTTTTTTTTCTTGCTTTCTTTCTTAAATATATCTTTATTTGCTTTGAAATATTACAGCCAAAGTAATCAAAGCAAGTATTTAGGGCAGTTCTCTTGCAGTGCCCAGTTAGGGCAACATAACTGAAGAGCCACTTTGCATGCCAGCAGGAGCATAGAAGTCATACATTCTTTCATTTTTCAAATATGAAGCTTGGATTGGAAGTACAGCAGACAGAAGAGAGTGTTGACCAAGCAAAAGTTATGAGTTATCCAGAGCCGTCACACTAAGTCCGAATCAATCAAAGGGCATGATGATGCCAACATCCCTATTGTTTTTTTGTGCTTGAAATTTTTTTTTTGATATTAGGGATTGTTGGGATATTTGGTTCACTTTGCATGTAAAGACAAATCTACCAAGTTTGCAGTCCCAAAAACAATACACAAACCAAAACACAAGTCATCCTTTGAAATTTGCAC